TATTGTTTCGCAATTTCCGTTGTTTATTTAAATAAGCCATGCGCACTTCAGATAGGATCGAAGGGGACTTCACCAATCCACGTCAAAAGTGTCAACAAAAACAAATGTTTATCAATATTAACATCGCACGTGGGAGTCCCCGAGCTCTCGGAACTTTCAAAAATCACACAAATATTATGCAGCACTAAGAATCATGAATAAAATGGATTTGTTTGTATTTTTATAAAAGCCTTCAGGGCGTTAGTCACAGCAACAAATAAATGTGCATGTCTTCCACAAATAAATCTTGTTTGCATGTCAGGCCAAATGTCGGCTCTAAATGCAACTTATAGTGTTTACATACGACTTAGTTGCCCTTAAACCTCACTAGAAGATAGTGTCTGTGGGTAGTTTGCGAACAAAGCGCTTCCAAGAATTTAGGCAAACAAAACAAACTGGAAATAGAAATTAGGTATACTATGTATATACTATAGTTTTTGCCAGACTTTACTTATTTGGTTTATGTTTGCAATTTTTTGAAAACTATTTAAAGATACATTAGCCCACATTTTTGGGAAGAATTGGAGTTCACAGCAGGTGTACATCAAACTTTTCAGCAATTATCAACAGCTTAGTTTTAATATTCAAATATAACTCTATTGCTCCTTTAAAGTTTAAACAAATGGCTGGCTTGCGAATTCAACAATACTTGTATGAACGACGCCTGTTCAAGGCTTTTATTTGTAATGAACAAACAATTGGATTGAATATAAAAAATCAATCCAATTGGAATATAAAAAACGTTGGAAATCTAAAGCTCGAAAATATAACCAATGCCAAAGGCTTTTATTTGTAATGAACAAAATTGGATTGAATATAAAAAATATTGGAAACGTAACTCCCAAAAATATGAACAACAATTGCCATTTTCATAATTGGAACTCGAATTGTAATTTAAACAATTTGTAAAAGCTGCCCCGTAAGTGGAAACTCATTTATAGGAATATGAATCGAATTCGATATCATTAAAGTCTCTATATATATTTTTAGTAGCATTGTTTGGTGAAAGTTTGTTTTTTTGTTTTTTTTTTTGTAAATGTACAATTTTATATTTTTTAGTGCTTCCATGCATATCTATATGTGTATATATTTTTCCATAGCAATTGAAAAAGTGATCAAAGAATAACAAATACTTCTAAAAACAAAGCACAAGCTCCAATTATGACTAACGAGCTGGGGAAACTTTTATAACTTTTAGCAAACAGTTAACAAAAAAGCAATTTGAAATTGATGCAAAATAATAAATAAATAAACAAAAGCAGTTTCAGTTAAGAATTTCTTAATAATTTCAAAGTAGTTTCATAAAATGTTGAATTTTACGGCACTTGTAAGAAATCTCAGTGTTTTCAACAAATAGGCAACAAGGGTATGTGCTTTTCGGCACTGAAAGGATGCCTTTTCTTTTCTTATATTTTTCTCGGTTTCTGTGTGTGTGGCTTTGAAGGGAGCCTTCTTCGACCAGTGCGGGGCACACATTGAGCCTGATTTAGGGCTGGCTCTTGTGGCAACAGAGCTTTGCCATAAATTACTAAAACGAATTAAGCGAAACTTACTAAACGCGCGCTCAATTGGTTGGTTGGCTGCTCAAACTTGCCGACCACGTATTTTAATCAGTGCCCCCAAAATGGCACTGAGACAGTTCATTAACATGCAGCAGCAAGGATGTGCCTGTCGATGAGTGGAGGAAAGTAGAAAGTGGAAAGTGGATACATAATAATCAAGTTACACCTTGATTTCGTTTAAACTAAAAGTAACACGAGTCAGGATTAGTTTCGAACAAACACACACAAACAACTTGTAGATGCAAGGGAAAAGGGAGAAAAGACTGGTTGGGGCAGCCTAATGCAGGCACCAATACACACACAACACACACACAAAGAGGCAGCGAACCACTTAAAGATTAAGTGCAGATTCAGTGGCGCGCGAACTAAACTGGAGGGCGCTCTCTTTTACCAAAGAACCGCAAACAACACAAAAAGACAAACGATTTGGTAAACGCAATGCGAACGAGAGCTTCGACAAGAGCGGCGGATAAAAAAAATAAAAAACAGGAGTATAATGCTAAGACCCCACCTGGCCGACTCTTTCATACACTATATATGTTCCTCTCTCCGGGACAGTCCTTAAAAACCAGCTTTGTTGCACCAATCGCTAGATATAGCACCAAGAACTATATCATACACTTTATACATTTATATCAATAAAGCGTCATGAAACTTTAGATTATAATGGGGCATTGTAAGTAAGTCATAAACACCACATTTTGTTAAGATGAAGATAAACAAGTTATTCGAGTAAGAATAATTTCTTCATGATTTTTAATTAACTTCTATTGCTTAATGGTAAGACACGTCTATATAGCATGTTTGGTGTGTCTGGCTATTATGGTTCAAAGGTTCTCGGGGTTCATACAGTCAAACAGATAAATAGGCGGTTCTACTCGTTATGCTAATCATGCTATCTCCTTTATATTGCTTCGACTTTCTATTATGCTTCAAAAGCTCCCGGGGCTCATAGAGTCAAACTGATGAATTAACGATTATTCTCGTCATTCAGATCATATATGCGACTATAATGTCACCTTTCTATTGCATGCATTTGGCGCTTCGACTTCTAGTATACCCTTTTTCAGCCGTCAGGTTCAGGGTATAAAAAACAAAGGAGCAAAGTGGAAGTGGTAGTGGGAGAGAAGGAAGGGACAGCAAATGCAGACAAAGGAAAATGAGGGTGTAACGCTTGTTTATATGTACGGGTTTGTGTGGGTGTGTGTGTGCCATCGTTACTGAGAAGGTTCATTCAAACAAAGCTAATTAACAGATTTGTCAGCTTTTCATCACTTGGTGCGCGCATTGTCTTAAGCAGTTGTTTGACTTTTCCACTTTTTAACGGCACACACACACACATACACAGCAATTGTTATTGTTGTTGCTTTACCGACTTTTGTTATTGTGGTAAGAAGTTCAACCGAAATGAAGGAATTCACAAAAAAATAATAATAATAAATGCAAAATATTGAGCAAAAAGTTATAAAGTTTGCATTTTGCTAAAACAAAAACAAAGAAATGGAGGAAAGTCAAAAGTTTTTCAATTGCTAATTACATGACGGCAAGTAAAAAGAAAAACACCAGGCCAAGCCGCAAAAAATCAAATAAAGTATGCCAAGCCGTGGAAGACGAAGACCAATTTCTTTCAACTTCTTGTTAACCCAACAATTTAAGCGGAAATTTATTAGAAACAGCTTGCACAGCCATTGCGAAAACATTTCGAACTAATTGGCCTCGTTAACAAAAGCCTGCCGGGCCAGACTTTAAACTAACTAACTAAACTGAACCATAACTGTACGAAACAGAACTGAACCGCACCGAACCCCAGACAGGAGCCAACTCTAGCCCAACTGTGACGCCAACAGCTCCTGGGCAGAGCACAGAGATGGGCACAGTGTGATAATTCAATCAATAAAGCTCGTTCAAAGTTATACTCGTATGTTTTCTAAAAATCATGGATATACTAAATGAAAACTTTGCCAACAAAAAGTTATTTTTAAAGTATGGCTACTAAGAGATTTTAAAGACAGACCTCGTACCTTTTAACTGAATTATATTACTGTTTGCAAAATTCACAAATATTTATTCATCATCATCGAACATTAAATATAGCTTTAAATGCTTATTATTAATTATTGCATCATTAGTATTAATTAATGCAATAATGTTTAATCAGCTGGCTGTGGTAACACATCCATCTAGTTAGTGGAGTTTTGACGCATGACATTTCAAAAGAAATCAATTTTGCAGCTGTTTGAAAGTGATTTCTCACTTTCCAAATGGAATGCTTAATGAAGCTTTTAATCGGCATTTATGGATGCGGAAAACTTAAGCTATTCATCATATTGCTTCACCTGTTTTGCGAAATCAAATCACTGTGCAGTGGAAGGACAAAAGGCAGAGGCAGGCAGAAGAAGGCAGCTCAACGGAAGAAGACGTTGACGACGTCGAACTCCTGAACTGTTTCTGCTGCTGCTGCTGCTTTTCCTTCTGCTGCTGCGCGCAACAAAGTAAAAATGCAATCAAAGTTTTCCGGCCCAGCTGGGCGGCCAAGAGCCGTCCCGAACTGACTGCTGGCTGCTCTATTGCTGCTGGTGTTAAGGCAATAAAACACCAGCCAGGCCAACAACAGTAACTTTTCAATCTCTATTGCAACTTTAGCCACTGACAGACAACACTCACTCGCACACACACACACACACACACACAGACATAGACTGTATAAAATGGCTGACTCGATGGCTCGAAACACGCAAAGGCGGACGGACTAACAAACCGCGGCTCGATTAATATGACCTCTGGCAAAATATGCGCAAAATAAAGAAGACAGACGACTGACAAAGGAGGCAGGGGAGAGATTGGGAGAGTGTATGTGTGTGTGTGGCAGAGAGGGGAACAAACTTTTACAAACAACTGACACAAATTGCAAACTCATTAAATTAAAATTATATTTAATAACTACGGTAGCCCGCAGTGCTAAACGATTTTGCTTTAACGCCAATACACCACCTCTCTGCGCTCTCTCTCTCTCTCTCTCTGCACGCTCGCTCTACCCCGCACTCTCAGTTTCTCGCTCGCACTGTTTGTCCTAAAGCTACGGTCAGACGTACAAATAATTTGCACAGAATTTTATTTCAGATTAAACTGTATTTTACTGTACACAATTCTTATTGGTTTTAACTGCAATTAAATTATTTTCATGACTTACATAACGGTCAGACAAGCAAATAGTTTGCACACAAATTTGTCATATTTTACAAAAGGACTTTAAAAATGAGTTTTTTGGAGCTAATTCTTATAAGTTGTAATTGGGATACTCGTGCAAATTATTTGCCAGTCTGACCACACCTTTTCACACTCACATGCACACAAATGTAAGTTACTGATGGTCCTACGGCTGTGTACAATTTTTTACAGTTCCTGCGCCCCCGCCCCTGCCCTCGTTAGTGCCCAAGGCGCCCCCACCACCGCCGCCCCCATTGACGGCAGGCGAGAAGCGCGAACTGACCGAAACCCAGAAGGCAGCGCTCGAAAAGCTCAAGTAAGTGGCAGCAGAGCCCAGCATGGGAAAGTACTTGAAACATGCGTTTGGCATTTCGTTGCGCCTCGTCGCAAAGCTAAAACAAGTGTCAAATTTAATTTATAGAACGCGCCCACGCCGTCGTCCCGACTGGTCCGAGATGATGAAGGAAGTGGAGAGCGGCAAGAAGCTGCGACACGTGGCATGCAATGACAGGTGAGCCATCATCACATTAACCTTGACAGACGTTTAGTTATTTATTAAATCTTATTACTATTATAATGATATTGCAATTTTTCAGATCTCAGCCTATACTGACTTGCAAATCGATGACTAAAGTGGATGATAAATTCATCTATGAGACAGAGAAGGATAATTCACACAACAAGCTGCTTAAACAGATTCAGGGTGGCATTAAATTGCGGCCCACACGGACAAATGATCGCAGCAAACCCATTTTGGAGGGTCTACGAAAGTTCCGACGTCAAATGACCATCGAGGAACAGCTCCAGAAGTCCCAGTCCAAAATAAATATGCTCAGTGAGGTGAGAAAAATGGTGTATCATATTTCAAAAACTCAGATAAAAGTTTATAGCTAATAATTTTCTAAGATTTCATTTTGGGTAAAATATTTCAAAATAGTTATAGCTGAGACCTATTCTGAAAATGAAAATGTCAAATTCTTTATTTTCAATGTGCACAATGTTTTTTTTTTTTTTTGAATAATACATGTATAAACAATCGAGATTTGTTCATAATTGAAACATTATTTGGGGGCTTGATTGCTAAAAGAATGTTTTAATCGCCAAATCAAATCATGTCCATAACATTGCAAACTTTAACTTCACTGTACTGACGTATGCCAGCGAACTTTAACTTGAATATAAAATAAATTTTAATCATATTATGAATAATTGCTTAACCGTGCTTATCAAAGAATACTGTCTGAAATTGTGGAAAATGTTAACAATGAGCCGTGCATTCAATTACGCGGATGTTGTTCACCCGACTTTCAAATGTGTCATCGTGCCACCCAAAAATTAAACATTAATAAAACTGACACACATAAGTAATCGAATTTATCACACAATTATTATTATTTTTTTTTTATTGCAATTTGCATAAGCAGTTGCCGAGCCCACAACTACACAAGGAAAGGGTGGAGGATTTAAAAAAAATCTTCTTATTTGATGGCGTAATATATAAAATTGCTGTTTAAAAATACTAAAATAAATCAAAAAATATTAAGTAGTTGAATCTGTGAATATAAATATATTACTTCGATAGTTCCGATATCAAATAGAAGCAAAATGTATTAATTAATACGCAGCAGTTTTAATTTGGTTAGTTTTTTAGAAGACTTGAAGTAAGGTTTAATATATTTAATATTTAAAGATAAAAAATCAAATTATCAAATATTTATTAAAAAGTATGAAATTTATGTGAATTCTCTTAGTTGGAAACCGAATTTTGATCAATATTTTACTCAGCTTATTAATTTCATTAATTTATTAAATTCAGACTGAAAAAGTATGCATATTTTTTTTTACAAATTTTTAACTTTGATAATTCAAATAATAGATATTTATGAATTGATTTATTTAGTTGATTGTATTTTGTTCCACATTTGATTTTGTGAAATTCTAATGAAATCCTTTTACAATTAATACGTATTTGTTAAAATTTTACAAGTAATGGAATATTCCTATTCAGCGATAAATGGGAAAAAGGCAAACTTGACTGTATTTTAAAAATCGCATTCACAGGCACCGTCGAGCACGAATTTGGGGCCAGCGAGTGTCGCTGGTGGTGCGCCACGTGCCAGCATTGTCTCTGCGATGTCGATTGATGAGGAAAGTCCCGACGAGTTGGACGACATTGACAAGATACGGGATGATCTGCAGAGCACAAAACAAATGCTGGCGCTGGAGCTGCGAAATCGTGAGGCCCAGGAGCGTGAGAACAAGAAGCTGTTGGCCAAAATACGAACGCTCGAAACGGAGCTGGAGCGGGAGAAGAGCCGTGAAAAGAATCTGGAGTATGGCTCCAATGTAATTGTGGCCACCATGGACCCCACACCCACATCGGAGCAGGCGTATGTGAATTCGCTGAAGCGCGAGGTGGAGGATGCGCGCAAGACGTCCAAGGAAGTGGAGAAAAACTATCACGCGACAAGCGACTTGCTCGTGGAGGCCAAAACGGAAATCGAGGAACAAAAGCGCCAGATACAACTGTTGGAGCGCAAATTGGCAGCCGCTTTGCAGGTAAGCTGCATAAATATTCTGTTCTCGCTCCCATGTGCGCTTGGGGCGTTGCAGTTTCCCTGGCTGGGTGTGGTGAGGGGAGAGGGGAGAGGGGAGGGGGTCGCTTGAAGCTTAAACGACGACAGCACACATGTCGCACAAAAGTGTTGTCAGTTGAAAGGTGTGTGTGTGTGCTTATGTGTGTTTGTGGTGGTGTGGCATAAACCTTATTTTGCACATTTCAGCGCCGTCTGCGCCACGTTAAAAGAGAAGAAGATAAATAAAATGAAGCAGTAGAAGAAGAAGAAGCAGAAGAAGTAAACGCAATTAGTCGCCTAGCAATTATGTAGTTGTAAGCTGTAGTCGCACGCTTAACAGAGACATCTAGACAGCCAGACAGCCAGATTTTGAATCAGCTGACAACACTTTCCAAATTGAATTGAGTGCACAAACAAGCCCACTCACACACACAAACGCACACAGAGTCCCACCCACACACACACACAGACAGACACACACAGACAGACAGAGAGAGTTGTGGGGCTTGAAATGCTGACTCGTAAATATGTAATTACCAAATGACTAACCGGTGACTGCAAAAATGCATCAAAGAAATGTCTCCGAGAAAGAAGAACATAATTGGAGCACTCTTAAGCACACACACTGAAAAAATTGTGTTCGTGCTCGGCAAATGATTTGCACGTGAAAAGGAAATGTGTCTCCACACATACTTGTATTTAAAATGGAAATTATACTTTAATTAGCCGTACAATGTGCCGAATGGTTGCCTTGTCTGAGCTCAGCTTTAAAAATGTACTTTTGGCTGAGATCCTTTTAATACAGATTTACTTGTAGATCAACATCTTTCGTTCTCAATTCTTAGAAAATTATTTGCTTTAAGCTTTATTAGCTTATTAGCTTAATGAATTGTTCTCTGAATTCAGCTGGCAGCTTTAAAAATATAACTGAAACTCTTTAAATTATATACCGACAAAAGTAGGTCGTTCCCAATTCTCGGTATTTTTATTTCCATTATTTCCACTTTGAAATGGAATTTTAAATGGAGAAACTAAACGTTCAATTAGCTTTGCATTGAGCTGAAATGTCATCTTCTTTAAAACATCGTTAGCAGCTTTAAACCTCTTTCAAGCTAAGTAAATATTCCCTATGAAACTAACAGTAGCCACAATAAGGAGATTATTTGCACTGTAAAATGTGATTCAAGATGGAAAATATGTGTATATTTAATCAGCTGGAAAATTATCCTAAGTTGTCTTGCTAAAATTTGAAAATTTTGCCAACGTAGTAACAGTTTGTTATACATAAATCCAAAAATAGACAATATTTACATTACCATTAAAGCTATGGCAAATAATTTGCATATCTATAGAATTTCACGAGTAAATATCAAAACAAAAGTACTGCTAATTAGCCTTTCGTTGTTGTTTCGTTGTGAAGCCTTTCTGCAGATATTTAGAATAATGTTGAGTATTATTTTTCTTTTTTAATATAAATGTTCATTTCTAAAGAAGCAAAACAAATATTTCTACTAAATCCATCTAATCTGTCTTATTCAGGTCTACCAATGCTTTAAATACTATTGAAATTTAATGAGTTGAGAAATATTTCGAGAAAATTTAGCACGGAAATATTATCCACTTATTATTAAAAGCGTTTCGACTTTGTAGTATTATTGTCAGGCAATTTAATTGTTACCATAATTGCTGCGATTAGATTCGAAGGACGTTCTTAGAACTATAATTGTCTAGAACTCTAAATATACAATGCGATAATGCCAGTCATTTGGTAAATAAGCTGCGATTATTATTTTAAATAGTTTTTGCTAATGAGAGCAATTCAGGCCTCGCAAAGAAGCGCCTGAGGGTAGGAATAAAGCTTTTTTGCCTAACACGTTGCCATTAACCAATTAACCGCTATATTATAAGGGTAATACGACACCAAGCACTAACAGACCGCATATTAGTATTTGCTTTGCTTACGACGACGACGACTACGACGAGGCCCATCATAACATTGGCGGGATGGGTAATCACGGCCTCTACAAGGTAATGCAACATGTTGTGCTTAGATTTGGGCACAAATGGTTGGCCGATATTAATAATTTTTTTGGTATGTGCCTCGATAACAGGGTGGCGGCTCATTGGATGGCTCGAGACGTGCCAGCGATGCGCATTTCGGACGTGACAGTTCACCGGAGCTCGAGCTGGAGCTAAGTGAAAGCGATCCGGACGAGCCGGAGGAGAAGAAGACCGAGAGACGTGAACGCCGGTTGGGCAAGGAAGTGAAAGTGCTGCGCAGCAAGCTGACCAAGCTGAAGGTTAAGCAGGAGGCAGCCAAGAAGGAGAAGGATGCACTTAAACAGGCCATGAAAAAGAATCATGTCATACTCAAGTAAGTGTGTTGTAATTTAAATACGCTGGAGCGCTGCAGTTGCTGAGCAAAAAACCAACAAACGAAATATTACAGGGAGGAGAACAAGAAATTCAAAAAATTGGAAAAGGAAGTGCAAAAAATGGCTGCGTCGATGAAACTGGACGAGGACGACGAAGATGGCGAGGAGAAGGAGGAGGAAGAGGAGCCAGAAGGCGAACACGAAAGCGAAGCGGAGACCGCCAGCGAATCCGAGGAGTCGGAAAGTGAAGAGAGCGAAGAGGAGACGGGCAGTGAATCGGAGGCAGAGGCAAGCTGAAATACCTTTAAAATGAAGCGAAATGTAAATGAATATTTAACTTACCGCTCTTTCTATCTGTCCCTCTGTAACAGGATTCGCCAAACTCAGCCAAGAAGACAAATCTGGAGCCGCGCGTTAAGAAGCACGAAAGCCGCTTCGCAGCTATGAAGAAGTGCAATGTACTGTTGCAGGCCAATGTGGACAATTTGCAGGATCAAATTTCACAAGTCAGATCCCGGGCGACAAATCTGCAGGACGAACTAGACGCGGTTATTGCCGATTTGGGTTTCTAGGTGCTACGTGTGTTTTGTTTTCTATTTTTTCTGTTAAACCACAAAGTTTGCGTAGTGTTCCTTTTGAATGTATTTAAAAATATATATAGAATAATTAAATACTGGCACACTTGTTTACATTTATAAACAAAAACAGAAGCGTGCCGGTCCTAGAGATGAGAGTTATGCACTAAGCTGTTATTTATCACAAGTAACAACTGCTTGCCAAAGTAACGCAAATAAATATCAAAATATCGATAAATTTTTGAATTTAAACTGGCTTTTTCTTAAATTGCACAGCACTGTAAATGGCTGCTGAATTATAATTGAATTCGTGTTTTCATATAAGATATAAGCATTAGAGGTATTTATTTATTTAATTTACAAATATTGAGAATAGCAGCTCTTGCCGCTTAGCTATACGTTTTTAGCTGTTACTTGTAATGAGTAACAGGGTATCCCTTTTGGTCACAGTGACGCAAAATGATATCGATAGGTTTTGACAAAACCGTTTTTATGAAAATGCTACACAAAATTAAGAATCAGAATTTTAATAGTTTTAAATTGTATTTATTATTTTTTACTGAAATTCTTGTATCGTAAGCATGTATAACAATGTACAAAACAACAAATCAATGCATTTGGCTAAACTAAACTATAAATAGACCATTAAGATTTATCATAAGTATAAGTATTATTTTCAATATTTTTTGTTTCTGTATGGGTATCACGCTCGAACTTGTAATATGCTTATGTAGTGTGTGTGCTGAATATGCGCTTTCATAATTAATGCTAAGCTGAGCTTGAATATGTTTAAGACTACGTGTAATGAACTCGATTTGAGCATTATTCCCAGGTTGCCCAAAGTAAGTACTAAATACGATGTGTGAACGATGTGACTAGAATTTACTTGAGAGAAACCACGAACAGATCTAAAGCATTCCATTATACATAGCAAGTATGTATTGATAAATTGTCTAGATATTCTTTCATTCCAGCAAAAAGATTCGTAAACGCTTTCGCAGCGACGATTCGCGTGGCAGGGTCATTGCCCATTTCTTCATAGCCGTCAAAATAACCGAACTAACTACCATTAATGCACCGAATAGCGAGTATGCGGTAGGAGTTTCGCCAAAGAACAAAATCTGCCAAACAAAGGCGAACACAATGTCGGCACAGCGTGCGATTGCCACAGGACCCGCCTGCTCCACTTGCAGTGAGAGCGTCAATAGTATTTGGCCCAGAAAACTGAATATGCCTAGTACGACCACTAGCCAGCGATCCCGCCCGCAACTCGGCCAGCACACAGCACCGATAGATCCACAAACGATGAGTGTGTAGACAAGCGCGACCGCGCCAAAATTTGTCATAATCACGGAAAAATGCAGTCCTTTCAGGGCTCGGAGTAAAATGTATACATTGGCACCGAACAGTGTGGATGATATGGCAGCAACTGGTCCCCAAATATCGTATGTCTTATCCGTATACTTTTCGCTTTCCAGCAAAGGCGTGTTATCGTCACCAAATACCAAAGGCGGTCGTGTAATCAGAACCACTCCCAAGAGGGTCATGTTGATGGTGACAATGTTGAAAAGCGTGCACGGCTCCTTAAGGAAGGCTCGCGCAAATATGGCTACGAACACAGGTGTGGAGAAGATGATGACGCTGGCATCGGCGAGCGGCATATGCCGGAAGGCATAAAAACTGAGCATTAGCCCGGTGGTGCCCATAAAGCAGCGCAGCAGTAGAATCACGCGCTTTCCCTCCGGAAATACGGGCTGTTTTGTATAAATAAGTATGGGTATGGCGGGCAGTAGAACTCCGACGAATCGAAAGGATGCCATCTCCATGGGGTTGACATCCACCAGGCCCTTTACTATAACTGAACACAGCGAGAAAAATAGAGATGACATGGTGGCCAGTATAATGCCCAGATAGGGGCAATTCAAACGCATCTTCAAGCGCTCCAGCCAACGATTTGAAACATCTCCCGTCCGTGTCCCATCCACGAACTGATGTAATTCCAAGTTCTCTGTCATTTTAAAAAGTATTATCTGTTATATTCCTTCCTTAGTTGCTATTTTGTTGTTTGATTGCTCATTATGTTCGATTTTTGGACAACTACTGCAAGCAGAAATGCGCTAATTAAATAAAATATGTTAGGAAAAAACACATTTCCGTTTCCATTACCTGGTCCAGGTATATATTTTTGCTTTGGAAAAATCGATTTTTTCACTTTCTCATTCAGACTATAAAAATTAAATCTAACTTTGGCACCTGCCGATGCTAATGCACTGTGGTGCACTTTGATTTAAACATGATGTACATATCTGTCTATCTGATTGTTAATTATGTACACTTTTATTGGCATTATTACACGTCGTCAATTAACAAATTGCACACACATTTTTACGAACGTTACAAACCACAAAACTCTGCAAGCTGCCAACTGGTGGCAAGTGCTGCTAATTAAAAAAAGCAGTTGCCAGTCCCACCACCCACGATGATCAGCTGTTTATTTCGTCAGCTGGCATTGCCGTTGCACAGACAAAAATATAGTGATGATATGGAAGGCAAACAACAGGCTACCAAGAAATTGGCTGTACTGGCAGCGAGCTTGGGCATAGTGTTCGTGCTGGTGCGAAACCGACAATCTATATGGACATCCTTACGTCGAACGTGGCATTTTAACAATCCTCTGATGCAGAAACGCACAGTCGTGATCAGTTCTTTTGAAGAGTCCCAAAAAGCGGTGAAGGAATTGAAGAAGTGAGTTTTGTTCACTTATGTATTTCTATTACCAGCTACCAAACCGTAGTTCTTCTAGACACTGCCAGTCCTACAAGGTGCTAGGTTTCGACTGCGAGTGGGTATCGGAGGGCGGCTCGAGGCATCCCGTAGCTTTGTTACAATTATGTTCCCACAAAGGGCTCTGCGCGCTTTTCCGCCTCTGCTGCATGAAACAGATTCCTAAGGACCTACGCGAATTGCTCGAGGATGATGCTGTAATTAAAGTGGGCGTTGTGCCCCAGGACGATGCCATGAAATTGTCACATGATTATGGCGTCGGTGTGGCCAGTACTTTGGATTTACGTTTCATGGCCGTCATGGCTGGCCACAAACCGGAGGGCCTCGGCAAACTCGCAAAAACTCATCTCAACATCGAGTTGAGCAAACACTGGCGACTGGCTTGCTCCAACTGGGAAGCTAAGATACTGCAAGCGGCACAAGTGAATTATGCTGCAAACGATGCGCTCGCGGCTGTGGCCATCTTTCAGAAGCTTTTTAAAGATCTAGAGCCCAGGTATGTTATGAGCTGTTAATTAAGAAATGCACTACAAAAGCTCGCTTGAATTTTACAGACCTATGTGGGGCCTACGCGCAACAAAGCCTGATATTCTGCACCCCAGACTGGGGCCCTTCTTAGATAGGGGCTTCTCCCAGGATTTCGCAGTACGAATTACAGCAAATGCCAGTGGCACTCAACCCTTGACAATGAAACCTAAGAAAATGGTTCCCAAAAAACAGCAATGCCGCAATCTGGGCACACGTTCCAAAGCCTTTTACGACAACTGCCTGCTGGAAGCGCCCGATGGCGAATTACTCTGCACCATTGATCGCAGAAAAGCTTCTTGGTATTTAAGCCAAAATTTGGGGAGTCAAATCAAAGATTCGCCGCTCACAGTACGCCTGAACTTCGAACCTGCAGGGCGTGCTGTTGGCGATGTGGGTCGCTATTATCAGACACCCAAGGAGAACCAGTGTGTGGTATGCGGCAGACGAGACGCCTTCATACGCAAAAATGTGGTGCCACACGAATATAGAAAGCATTTTCCACTCGTAATGAAATCCCACACCTCACATGATGTCCTGCTCCACTGCCCCACCTGCCATCAAGTGAGCAACATATCCGACTTGAAAGTGCGCACAAAACTAGCTGCCATGTGTGACGCACCAATTAAGCACAGCGAGGGGGCAGCCAAGTTCTTAGAGGATCAGGAATTGAAGTAAGAGATCCACTACTTTTTCACTATAACATTTATTTCAAATTGTTAATTCTAGACGTGTACGCTCGGCAGCTAGAGCTCTGCTTTATCAACGCGCCAAGCTGCCAGAAGCAAAGGTGGCGGAAATGGAGCGCATTGTTCTGGATTACTATCAGGCGGAACACGAAGTTACAGAGTCTTTGTTGACCAATGCAGCCAATCTGGAATTTAAGTAATTTATTTCAAGCCGAAGTCTGACACATTATGTAACTTAAACCACATATCTCTTCTAGGTTTGAGAATCCGGACTATTGCGAGCACGCTGGAAAGGTTGTGAGAGTATATGGTGAAAAGTATGGAGGTCTTATAGAATTGGAACGCGTTTGGCGCGAACATTTTCTGCATACACTGCAACCAAAATTTCTGCCCGAACTCTGGAATGTCAATCACAATGCAGACAGATTAGAGGTGCGTGCTAGCGAGGGTCGTGTAGACAATGAAGATCTGCTGTTAGCAGGCTTAGATCCCATATTCAGGGACACAAAAACTGCATAGAAACAACTTCATTGAAGACGCCACAGAAGTGCCTTTCATATTGAAATAAATAAGAATAAATTTCTGGAATTGCTAAGCTGTTCAACCCATTTAACTGCCATTAATGTACTTTTAGACTTCCAACCGCAGATTATTAACAAAATCTTTAGTCTCTGGCATTGTACGTATATATTTTATTTAAATAATCTATAAACTATATTTTGCTATGTAAAATAAATCAGTTTTCTAGATTCAAAATGTGCTGTTTGTAGAAATTAAAATACCAACGAAAATGTCAATGGCATCGACAACTGAGCAGTAAAACTAACTTAAGTAACTAAATTAAAGCTTAATAATATGTAGTAAGGTTCTTGTCAGATTTCTCAATTCACAGCAACTGCTTTGCCAAAAATACATATATAGATATATATTACAATACATTATATATACAACGGTGTGCAGCACCATTTGATTTGGTTTCGAGAAGTCAGTGGCACGCTAAATGAACTCGAATCCCTCATATTTGTACTCTGTTTCGATTCTTTGCTCTGGCAACAAAGTTTTGCCCGCCGTATCAAAGGCGGTTATGAACGTGGAAGTTTTGCCATTTAGCTCCTCGGATTTAATAGCAATAATGATGGTGTCTCCGGTGCTGGGCAAGAATTTGAAGCTGGAGAAACCGTGTGTTGGGGCAGTGTTGCTTTTATCCAGCGTTACGGTTTTAATATTGCTAAAATTCTCATCGGCCGATATGAGCAGATTGCAGCCCATGTGCTCATCCGATACCTCGTTATATCTTAAAAAGGAAGTACATCTGTTAGCAATTGGAAAGTGAATGTCAGGTGTTATAGGTATACTTTTCTTTACTGCATCTCCTGGGCAGGAAGAACCAACGTCTATGCTTGTCCGACCAGGTGCCACTTTCGTGTATCATATATCCGGGCCAGCTGATTTCCATTGCATCCCGTCGCAGCTTTTTGTAGTTGGCAGACCAGTTCAGTGACTTGACCTCGCCCGATGGCTTGACGGACTTCACAAACATGGGATCCTCGTTGACGAAGTCACCCTGACTTTGCGTCCACTCCTTGCCCATGGAGCCCACATACAGCGTTTGGTCTTTTACTGTGGCCCATTCGGACTTGAAGCCCTTGGTCTTGTGCCCATCACCGTCCAGTAAAATGATCCAAGGCACCACCTTATCGCCTTCAATCTCGTAGACAAGCCCTGTGCGATCGTCAAAGCTAAGCAGTTTTCCGTTAAATGTCACCAACTCGGACAGCTCCATGCCACGGTCCTTTAACGCAAAGGAGGACTCTAGTGCGACAGGCGCTCCAGTATCCCAAACAATCTTCATTTCGTTGCTCGACACGGTGTGCGTTAGATATCCTTTCTTGAGAAAACTTTGCCACGTCACTTGGTTGTCGCCCTTCACTACGCGCGACTTTGTATCTAGATCTGCTATCATTCCTATCCGATAGCTGATAAGGCCACTGCGCGCCACTATAGGCGCCGTCAGTGGATAGGTGTCGTTGTAAGCTATAAATGGGGATAAACTTGTGATGGTGTGGCCGTAGAGATGCTGCTGCTGCCATGCCACATCTGACGATGATCTAGAACTATTGCGCGTGTAGAAAAACAGCAGGAAAAGCGCAAAAACACAAACAATGAGTAGCGCGAAGTGATAATTGAAGCGCACTGTGCGATTCCCGATCCGGTAAGAGGACGATGTGCGGAGTGCTGTGCGCCAATCGCGCATGTGCATTGCGCGTGGCGAGTTTTCCAGGTCTCTGTATGCTAAAGCCGGACTTTGCATTTATTTAGATTTAAACTAAGCGACTCTCCCCAAAAAGTGACCGTGTGGCAAAATTTGATGTGATGTGGGCTTTATTTTCCAACAGCTGAGAGCGCCCAGCAAAAGAGTGACCATACCAGTGCGACCAGCTGCCCGTAGCAGCTGTTCCTCCTATCGGCTGCAGCTATCGATATATCCATATACTCGTTACAAACTACAGCTGTAGCTCCAGCCGCTCCTCTCTAGTTCTTTTGCTACAACACGTGTGGCGTTATATTTTCTACAGTTTATATTTTATAAATAAACTGTAGAATATGCGTATAGAGACGTGTTATTTTTGCTCCAGCAAAGTATACCCCGGCCATGGGGTTACTTTCGTGCGGAACGACTGCAAGGTAGGCATATAAATGCCATTTTCGTGTTTGTTTTGATTTACATGTGTATGTATGTTTGTATTTATCCTCCATTTAGATATTCAAATTCTGTCGTGGAAAATGCCACAAGGCCTTCAAGCGCAAGAAGAACCCACGCAAGGTCGGCTGGACGAAGGCACATCGCAAGGCAGCGGGCAAGGAGCTGGCAATCGATCCCAGCTTTGAGTTCGAAAAGCGTCGCAATGTGCCCGTCAAATACAGCCGCGAAACCTGGCAGCGTTCCCTGGACGCCATCAAGAAGGTCACCGAGATCAAGCAGCGGCGTGAAAATCTGTTCGTCATGGAGCGCCTGCGACAAGGCCGCAAGGTGGAAATCGAAATGGACGTCAAGGATGTACAACGCAACATGTCCCTCATACGCTCACCTGCCGCTGGTCTCAAGGAGCGTCGTGCCAAGGAGGAGGCCGAGGCAGCTGCCTTGATGGACGAAGACCTGCCCGAGGAGGAGATCACATATGTGGATGCGCGCGAGTTAGAAAAGAAACTCGAGGAGGGTCTCAGTCCGGAGGACATGGAAATGATAGCTGCTTAGGAATTAATACATATTTGGCTCTAGAATTAAGTTACCACCAAGCAAACAATAAATACGATTTATACGAAATACAGAAAAAAAGCAACGTATGCATTTGAATTTACATTTGTTTTGCCACCCTCCTCAGCGCGCACAAAATCGGACGGCGCGTCCGCAAACGACCAATAATTGGATTAGACCAGGTCTCTGGCTCGCTGCTTTATGCTTTTGTGTGCGGCCAGCAGTTGAATTTCATCAGCACTTTGCACGACACAAAATGAAATTTCGCAGTAAGTGAAAAGGGCATTGAAAAAAGGTTTCCACTAAAAATGAGCTTTGGTAGAGATTCTTATTTTTGGCGCCATAGCGTTTGGCCTTTTGGCTGCTTTGTTGGTCCTACTGAGCTCATTGCTGAGCGAATCCTTGCCCAATGTGTTGGCGCCAGAGGGACGCGATTATGTCTTCGACTACGTCATCGGTAAGTGCACCTCGGAGGGAGTTGTTGATTATATTGATAATGGGGTCATTTCAGTGGGCGCTGGCACTGGAGGCTCGGTGCTCACTTCCCTGCTGGCCAAGCACAGCAATGGTTCGGTGCTGCTCATAGAGGCAGGCGGTGCTTTTGGACTACTCAGTCGCATTCCACTGCTGACCACCTTTCAGCAGAAGGGCATCAACGACTGGTCCTTTCTCTCTGTGCCACAAAAGCACTCTTCAAGAGGGCTCATCGAGCAGCGTCAGTGTCTGCCCCGAGGCAAAGGCCTGGGCGGTTCTGCCAATCTCAACTACATGCTGCACTTTGATGGGCATGCTCCGGACTTCGAAGCTTGGCACAAGCGGCACAACTTGAGCGATTGGAGCTGGGAACAGATACGGCCATTTCTGGCAGCTGCCAAGCCTCAAACGCTGTTCGAAATTCCACGCAGCTACTCTAAGCTTACGCAGGCACTGGACGAGGCTGAGGCACAGTTTCCGCACAAATCCTGGCACTTCCGGCGTTCGCGCTACTGCATCCGGAACGGATTGCGTCACTCGGTTCTGCAGCAGTTTCTGCAGCCTGTTATGAAGAATGTGAACCTGCGTCTGTTACCACAGGCGCTTGTCAAACGCATTAAGCTGTCCAAGTCCCCCAAGCTGCGAGCCACTTCAGTGCTGGTGGGCATCAAGGACGAACACACGAATAAGGAGCACGAGTTCAGCATAAAGGTGCAACGTGAATTAATTCTCTGTGCAGGCGCTTATCAGACGCCACAACTGCTGCTCGCCTCGGGCATCGGAGATCGCTCCACATTGGCCAAACTACAGCTGCCGGTGCAGCATCATCTGCCTCTGGTGGGTCAGGGCTTGCACGACCATTTCAATATGCCCCTCTTCGTGTCCACGGGCGTGATTGGACCCAGTCTGAATCAGCGCACACTGCTCGATCCGTTCAATCTGCTCAACTACCTGAGCTCCGGCACGGGCCACTTTGGCAATTTCGGAGTGGTCGGCCATGTGAGTGGTCATGAAGAAGTAGAGTGGCCCTTCAGCGTCACCTTTTTCGGCGCCGGTGCCATTGATGAGGGCTCGCTAATGTCCATTTCGAATTTCAAACGTGCCGCTTTTCGCGCCCTCTTTCCACGCTATCACAACTCATCCCAAGAGGGCTTTGTCGCCATCTCCAACTGCCTGCAGCCCAAATCCCGCGGCTCCGTAACGCTACTCAACAGCAGTATGCGTCGCAATCCCCTCATCGATCCCAATTTTCTGAGCAGCAGCGAAGATTTAAATTGTACCATCGACGCTATGCGCCACGCAATCCAGGTGAGTGAGTGGGCTTCGTATGAGAAGCCCAGAGGAGGGATGTGTTTTGAATTTAAATTAATATTTCTACAAATTTAAATCAGCTATTGCTAAGTAAATTGAATTGGGCTAAGTGTGTGTATGAGAAGCGTGCAGGAAAATGATTGCAATTCAATAATAATAGTTTATTTAATTTATACGATTAGTTTTTGAAGAGCTTCATTTATCGTAAAAATTTATCTATGAACTTGTATGTATGCTATATCTGCTTTAGTTGTCTGAAGTGGGAGAGTAGAGTTCCAAAATGTAATGCATAGATGGATATATATTTGGATAGATAGATGGATAGATAGATAGATAGATACATGGAGAGATAGATGGACAGATAGATGGATAGATAGATGGATAGGTAGATGGATAGATAGATGGATAGATAGATGGATAGATAGATGGATAGATAGATGGATAAATAGATGGATAGATAGATAGATGAAAAGAAAGATAAATAGATGGATAGATAGATGGAAAGATAGATACATGGAAAGATAGATGGATAGATAGATGAAAAGAAAGATATATAGTTGGATAGATAGATGGATAGATAGATAGATAGATAGATAGATAGATAGATAGATAGATAGATAGATAGATAGATAGATAGATAGATAGATAGATAGATAGATAGATAGATAGATAGATAGATAGATAGATAGATATATAGATAGATAGATAGATAGATAGATAGATAGATAGATAGATAGATAGATAGATAGATAGATAGATAGATAGATAGATAGATAGATAGATAGATAGATAGATAGATAGATAGATAGATAGATAGATAGATATAAAGATAGATAGATAGATAGATAGATAGATAGATAGATAGATAGATAGATAGATAGATAGATAGATAGATAGATAGATAGATAGATAGATAGATAGATAGATAGATAGATAGATACATAGATGAAAAGAAAGATAAATAGATGGATAGATAGATGGATAGATAGATAGATGAAAAGAAAGATAAATAGATGTATAGATAGATGGATAAGGAGATGGATGGATTGATAGATGCAATGAGGAGATGGATAGATAGATAGATAGATAGATAGATAGATAGATAAGGATAGATAGATGCAATGAGGAGATGGATAGATAGATAGATAGATAGATAAGGATAGATATATAGATGTAATGGATAGATACATAGATTAGTAACTAACCAAACAGAAGGAGATATAGACAAATAAAAAGATAGATAGATAGCCAAACAGGCATACCATATTGATAGGTAGATAGTTCTTCTAGTAAGTCTTATAGACCGTATTTATTTGCAAAAAATATATATGAATGTTCCAATTTTGGTTTTGTGAAACAAATTAAGAACCATCATTGCATCATCTAAACAAGCATTTCATTCTATATCGAAGATCCTCTATCAGCCTTTAAAATAAATTGTCTATCGTATGCAAAACAAGCTGTTTTCAAAGCAAAACCATTACCTATCATAATGACCTACGAGTATTACATATATTTGTTTTTCCAGCTAATCACGTCCCCCGCGTTCGCATCGCTCCAGCCGCGCATCCATTGGCCCCGGCTGCGGGAGTGCGCCAACTTTGGACCGTTCGAGCGTGACTTTTTCGAGCACAGTCCCTCCGATCATTACTTGGAGTGCATTATACGGCACTTGGGCTTGAGCTCGCACCATCCCGGGGGCAGTTGCGCCATGGGCAGTACGTCGAACGACAGCGTTGTGGATGCGCAGCTGAGGTGCGTCGTCGCTTAACGACAACGACAGCGACAGTCGATTCTGATTAGTTATGGGTCTTCAATTACAGATTGCATGGCATCAACAATTTACGCATCGTGGATGCCAGCGTGCTGCCGAGTCCGATATCTGGCAATCCCAATACGATTATAGCCGCCATTGCTGTGCGTGCGGCCACTTGGATATTGAAAAGTGAACTGCAAGAAGGTCAAGTGTCGCTGGGCTTATGAACCACAACCCATTAGGCACACACACACACACACTCACACACACACAGAACACACTCTAACGGGCTATCAAATAATGTTTATCATTTGTTGTTTGCCTTCCAATTGATTTCACGCTGACCCGACCCCATCCATTGCCCGCAATTCGTTGCAGTCGGCTCCCAAAAATCTTTTTCAATTAAAAGCTCATCCGACCATGTGCGCGCGGCATGCATTTGAACTTGCACTTGAAAAATCATCGTCGTTCGTCATCGGCCATGTGTGTTTTGGTCGCTTTCTCGGCCCATCGCATCTATATAGATATATACTATATATCCACCTACCTGCCTATAAGCATTCTCTCTTGGGGCATCATTCATGAATGAGTGCAGACAGCACTGCAATCTGTCTATCTACACTAGAAAACACAATCTGCTACACAAAGCCAAAAGCTCTAAACACCCAACAATTAGTCGCATTCAACTACAATTTAACAAAACTAAACAATATACATATATTTCTCGTAATCAAATGCAGTTTTATTATACAAGTATGTACAATATTTGAGTGAGGGATTTCTGGCGGTCTAATTATAAAACTATTTCCATCGAACCTTCTCTTCGCAGTGGGTTTTATAAGAGATTGCTTTGTTGCCTTCTTATAACACCGAATAAGTATTTGATGCCACAGATAAATTATCCCCCGATTTGTAACCAACTTTAATAGCATATACAAGTAATTCCCCCTAACATGACATTCCATTTAGTTGCTTCTTAAAAAGCTGTCTCTACAGAAACGATTAGTTCTTCTTGATAACAATAAGAATTGGGGGGTTTTAATGCACCCAATGGATAGTTCGGTTTGGGCGGCGAGTGATTATCACAATCATTAGAAGTTATCCCCAAGAAGAAGACAACAAGTCAATCAAGCAAACGGGACACATGAGAAATAATTCCTAAATAAATAATAAGTTATCGTAAAAAACATGGATCTTTTCCCCCAACAGCCTTCTTATGTTTATCTGCAAAATCGGATCATGCTTGAAACTGCATATAAAATTTCCCCAATTGTAGTTTAAAGAGATTTTTTATATTTTGTTTAAAGCTCTTCTGATTTGGTGTCCCAAAGTAGAGTTTTCTCAAAACAGAAAGAGAATTTAGATTTAGACAGGGCTATAAAAAGTTATAATAAAATTTAAACAAACAACTGAATAGTTATTAGCTTCTATAGGTAGTACTATATTATAGAAACATACATACAATTACAGATTAAAATATTAAATTAGCTATAGTGTTTTCATTTGGTTGCTATTCGAGTGTGAGATTAATGAGTAGTAATTTCGTTTTGTTTAATTATGATTTTTTTAATACAAAAATTATATATTGCTGATCTATTAAAAGTTTTAACAATTCTATGTGGCTTCTGTTGCATATACATGTTTTTAATTTTTATTTAGAAATTAGAAAACATGATTGAGAGACATTAATATTTAAATTTTATTAATCGTTTTCAAAGAAAGTTCCTCGAAAACTTTGGTTTATGCAGATATTACAATTATTAAATAGAAAAACAATCATTCAGTTAATAAGTTTTCATGGCCACAATAATTATTTGCATAAACAAGAAAACGAGCGATTTTTATAGAATAATTTGAATCTATTGGTAGCCTGTTTAAATATTTATATTTAATATTACATTAAAAAAATTACAAAAAATTTTTAAATGAAACAAAATAGACTTTTCTTTTAAAAATAATACTGAATGAAAAATAGTTGTGGAATCGAATTTCGAATAAAATTCTGGATACACTTCCCTGAACACCTTACTACTCGAAATAGGAGCGAGCTAAAAGCAACTTAATAATCTTGCCCCAACTTTTGTCGCATTTTCTTTTGGTTTCTTTGCTGAGCAGTGTTATCCACTTGTTGCTCGGAAAAGCGTTGTACTCTACTGAGGATTGCAGTTGTCGGACGACTGCTCGCGTGGGCGATGGGCCCTAGAAAAAGACAGTAGTTTGCGAAACATAGCTCGAGTTCTAAATCAGTTTTAAAATTTTCAAAGTTCGAGCCATACATCGGAGTGCGGATTATAAGGCATAATTGCTGCACGATTGTTGCAATCGTTTGAAAACTGTTATTTGCCTAAAGAACTGAATAAATGTGTGATATAATTACAACGTCGTCGTATGGGCGCTATATGAACGAGTATATAGTGTGAGCGTCATAGTCGTCTGTGCGTCATCGTTTTGCCTTGTAGAATTGTAGGAAGAATTGAAGGAAGAGCGCGAATGAGTTTATTGTCTAAATGAAAGATTATTGCAATTGCGGGTGTCAGACTTCTTCCTTCTCAGCGCTCAGTAGAAATCTCTTGGGTTGACATACTTGTATACGAGTAGTATGTCGTAATGCTACGAACATTTGAATACACGACTACGACTATTTCCCCACAACTACTTAACTAAACTAAAATAAAGCTCCATGTGCTGCTGCTGTTGCTGTTGCTGCTTTTTTGAGAAAATCACGGTCCAAAACTAAATTGCTCGACAACAATTGACAATTTAGCGAAATTGAATTGAATCATCGCGGCGACACAGAACCATTTGATGGGATCCCATCCACCAGCCACCACACACTCACCACTACTACTATTTTATGCAGCTTTGGGATAAACCATCAGATTTACGACTCATTTAGTCGGCGCACAAACGGCGTGAGGCGCGTTTCAAACACGTACACTTATTCCTCGGTAGTGGGTCCGGATCGGAAAACTACAACAACAAGATGAACGACATTGAGCATATACTGGCGGATCTGCAGCGATTCTCATGGATCGATTATATAGTTTTTGTGGCCATGTTCTTGCTCTGCATCTGCATTGGCATCTATTTTGGCTTCATGAACAAATCGGTATCGGAGGCCGATTATATGCTGGGTGGTCGCAAAATGCTCGTAATCCCCATCGCCTTCTCCCTGGTGGCCAGCTTTATATCGGGCATTACCCTTCTAGGTCTGCCCACCGAGGTCTACTCCTACGGCATTCAGTATTTGTATGTCTCGTTGGGCGTTGTCTCCATGGGCGTCGTTATGGGCGTATTCTATTTACCGGTCTTCCATGATCTGAACATCACTTCAACGTACGAGGTAAGACAATCTTTAATTGAATGGTTCCACATCGATGTTGAGTTTTCCTTGCACTCTCTTTCCTTTGCAGTACCTGGAAGTTCGTTTTGATCGTCGACTACGAATGTTTGGCTCCATTATGTTTGCCATTATGAATGTGAGTAGTGGTGGAGCTGGTGGGCTGGCAAATCGATTTATTAGGACTTGAAACGTTGAAAGCTTCCCTCCCAAAAGCTATATAGAGTAGATCTCAGCTTAGATAAAAGAATAGCAGAGCGCTCAATGCCCTGCGAGACGTGTAGTTGAAGAATATCTCAGGGCGTACGGAAGAAAGCAAATTTCTTTTCTTAGAAACTTATTAATAGATCAAGCTTTAAGATCTATTGAGTCTCAGCCGATTCCAAAATCATCGTAAGTCGCTCAATACGTCATTTGATCGATTTTAGCAAAAATTCCAAAAGAGATCTCCAGAATTTTTAAGTTTGTATACCAAGTCTGTTCTATTTTTTGGATCAGACCATCGGCTTGAAATGCAACTCTTTTTCCTGCCTTTTCAGTTCTGATAGACTCCATTACTCTACATAAGTATCTCTTTACTTATATGTACATCAACCACTTGGGACTTGGATTTTAGCTAAGAATACGACTAGGAGTTCTTAGATCTATTATGCCCCCCCGCTATTGCATGATACAGTTATTTATACTGGAGAACTAACATTTACAAAAATGCAGCTACCTTTCGTGAGCCCAGAGCCCTCGATTTCCTCATTTGATTTTGAGGCGATTTCAACCATCCTTAATTGATCCGTCTCAACCCCATTATCGCCGTACCGTTCTTCAGAAAATGATCTCGACTCTATTCATTCTTGCAACATAAACGCCCACTTATTCGCCAACAATACAAGTTTCAACAACTAATCTGCACTTATAATTATACAATCGTTGAAAATAATTTCCACTTAATGCTAAACTAATCGAAGAATCTCAACAGATAGCTTATCTGCCTATTGTTATCTATGTACCAGCCTTGGCCTTCAATCAGGTAACTGGCGTTGGTGTGCACACCATAACGCCGATTGTGTGTGTCATTTGTGTGTTCTACACCAGTCTGGGGGGCCTCAAGGCAGTGGTGTGGACGGATGTGGTGCAGGCAGTCTCGATGCTGGGCGCCTTGGCTTTGGTTGCGATCAAAGGGAGTCTTGACATAGGTGGCGCCAGTGTGGTCCTGGAGCGAGCCTATAACTCCGATCGCCTTGAGCCCCCAGAGTAAGTTTTGCTAAATTGGAGAGAAACACTCTCTCAACCTTTAATCTGTGGCAGCTTTGACATTGATCCCACGGTGCGCCACACACTCTGGTGTCTGTTCATTGGCGGCATCTTTTATTGGACGCAAACGAATGCCGTTTCGCAGAACATGATCCAAAGATATTTGTCGCTGCCCACACTGGCAGATGCACGTAAGGCTCTCTGCATTTTCTGCGGTGGGGTCTTGGTCCTCATGGCCTTGTGCGGCTACAACGGACTACTGATCTATGCGACCTATCAGAACTGTGATCCGCTGACTACCAAGGCAAGTATAGCCGCTAATTTACTGCCACGATCCCGCATTTGATTTGCAAAAGCTTCGTATAGTTGGCCAAGGCACGGGATCAGCTACTGCCGCTCTTTGTGATGGACACGTTGGGAGAGCTGCCTGGAATGACGGGTCTGTTCATTTCTGGCGTTTTCAGCGCAGCTCTCAGCTCACTCTCCACCTGCCTCAACTCCATGTCTGCTGTGGTGCTGGAGGACTTTGTCAAGCCCTTTGTAAAGAAGCCCCTAACAGCGCGTGCCATTAATTGGATCATGCGTCTGGTGGTAGTTGGCGTGGGCGTCCTTTGTGTGGCCCTCGTCTATGTGGTCGAGCATATGGGCACTGTGCTGCAGTTAACCATGAGTCTGGAGGCCATTACCAATGGGCCACTCTTTGGCATCTTCACGCTGGGCCTACTCATGCCCTGGATCAATGGCAACGTGAGTAAAAGGTCGCATTCTTCCCACTCCCCTGCCCTAACTGCCATTCTTTCAGAGTGCCATTCTAGGCGGCATTGTGGGTGTATTTGCGATGTCCTGGGTTAGTCTGAATGCACAGTGGGCCATTGCCTCGGGCGCCATTCACTACGAGACCAAGCCTCTGAACGTGGATCAATGCGATTACACCTTCGATGCCCAAGCTTTGGTCACCAGTGCCGTAAATGCGACGCATGCGCCAGCGCCTGAGTAAGTCTAGCAACCGGAATTATCTACAAAACATACATTTTCTATATACGCTTTCTAATTTGCAGCGACATCTTTCCCCTGTACCGCATCTCCTATATGTGGTACACCGCCCTAGGCTCTTGCATCACCATTGCGGTGGCGCTCATCAGCACGCTCGTCTTCGGCACCAATAATCCCAATAAGATAGACCCCGTCCTATTGACACCCTGCATACGCAAATTCTTTCGATTCACCGTCGACAGACCCAACAAACTTACGGTAGCTACTCAAGCCACCACTATATACTATGTGAGAATTACTAAAGTTAGTTGGTTTTATTTTCAGGGCAAGGCGGACATTCCACTGCATCAGCATAGACTACGCAATGATGAGGTAGCTCTTTGATTCCACAATCAATCAATATCAATATCTGAGACCAATTTACTGAAAATAAAAACTGTTTGCGGAATTTAAATCAACTTATAGCTTCTTATAGCTGTTTCTGCCTAAAATGGAAATGAAAGGCAGCTTTTCGTCATACCACATCCTCAAACCCTTTCAAATATCTCTGGGCGATCTCCTTCAAACGTATTCTGCGCCTCCTGCTCCTCCAAATATCTTTAACAATTAAGTGACATCCCATAATTTGACACAAAAACATCAGTTTTGGTTCACTATTTATCCACTATTTATTGCGATTAGCGTGCACTTTTTTCGCTGCTGACAGCGGATGTCACTGCAATTATATGGCTATATTGATGACCACATAGGTTGAATGATTGCGACTATTGCCTGCCTGACTTTGCGATTTCCTAGTTGCTCTACGAATGTCGATTGTTGCTGATTTCTATTGCTGAGCTCATCGGGTACGAGTACTTGCATCACAAAATTTATTTCGGTTAATTTTTGGGGTCAAGCTTTTGCATTACTAAGTAATTTTTTGTTTTAAAATGTTGAGAGAGGAAACAGTTAATGTTTATGATGTTCTTAAATTTGCTTGTTTGTACATTTTTTACACATTTTTGCCCATCTTATGTTTTCTTTTATAATAAATTATTCTATGCCTTCTTATATACGAGTCGAGCTGCCAGAAAAATATGTACACTTCTCGCTCCTTTACTTGGGTAGAAAAAACAGACAAGATTGTTAAAACAAATCCACCACTGATGCGTAAAATGCTTCAAATTTCAGTCAAAGTTGTATAAATGTTTGACCTTCATTTCGAAATACAGATAAATAAATAAATTAAAATTTTTCTAATAAATCTTTACACGCAATTTTACCTCACTTTGAGGTAAACATTTCCCAAAATGGGACCCAATTGAAAATTGAAATTTTCAGCTTATAAACATAGATAAAATATAAATAATAATAATAATAAAAATAATAGTTTAAACTAGCGTTTCAAACTAAAACTTTAATTTTTATAGACACAACCTGCTGGCTCAATCAAACTCAGGATGAACATTTCTAAACGCATTTCTTTGCCCAATACAGAAATCCCAGTAAAATCAAAGTAGACCTTAAAAAATCTATTTTATCAATATTCAATCAATTACAAAATATATAATATAAAATAAGTAAATAAGTTATATTATTATATAAACTTTCGCCGGACCTTTCTCTTTTTTTAGGTCGAGTTTCCTTAAATTTCAAAACCCACAGAATTCATAAATTACATATTTCAGGAGAATTTCAGACAGGCTCAGAGTATACTTTATAGTATATATTGCCATGTGCATTTCTTTGTCAATTAAATTCATTGAATAATTAATGAACATCATAGATATGCTCAACTGAAAGAAGAGAATCAATAAAAGCTGTCACGAAATCCCTGAAATGACATTTTATTGGCATTCCCTTTGCATTGTCAGTCTTGGCATGGCCTTACCCGATGATGAGAATGTATTTTATAGAACTAGAAGGTCAACCTTTATACGATCAAATGCTTTTTTCGTGCACTTCGGCAGCGTATGGGTGTGGGGTGTATTATGGATACTTAAATATGCAGCAAAAGCAAATGTTACTCATCCAAAAGAATGAAACAAACACACTCATGCCATAAAGAAGCCCTGTAAGTGTTTGGGGGCAGCTTAATTGAAAACTTTGCCAGTTGCTGTTGCCAGTTGCCAGTTGGAAGTTTAATTGACATAAGCAAGCAATTTTTGATTGACACTTTACAATTTCGACAACAATAACAGCGCTTCAACACCTCCAACACTTCTTCATCTTTCATTCAAAGCCGTTTAATCAGCGACTTAAGCTCAGCAAACACATACACACACGAATGAGTGTAAACAAACGTGCCTGAAGATATAAACATTTATATGTATATACTTGGATGTGGGTTAAGTTTTTTCTTTTCTACATTTAATGCTTAGTACTCGCATTCAATGATTGTTGTTTGCTGATTTATTGTATTATCCCCAAGTATGTGCCTCTGAGTGTGTGTATATGTGTGTGTGTGTGTGTTTGTGTGTTTGTGTGTGTGTATTTGTGGCACCTTTAGCAATTTAAATAAACCAATTAATCACGCGCACTAATTTCAATACACACACACACACACACACATACTCTTGCATACGAGTATATGCATTCATTGAACCATATTTTTTGGATTCGTATTCACATTGAAAATAAGTTTGATGGCTCTATTGTTGAGGAGGCCGCCAAGCGACGCACTTTGTTTTTGCTCTTTTGGCTCCAGGGGGCTCCGAAACTCAACTCAGCGACACACTTCCTTTTGGTGGCCTGCCCCATTGCCAAATAAACAGAATAAACAGAATAAACAGAAACAAATACACATACACTTGCTGCTGCAGTTGAAGGTTAAGTTTAACAACAAAAGCGACATCAGCAGCTCTCATTGGGGAAGTGTTCGACTTATCTGAATACTCTCACTTGTGGTTGCATACTAAGTATATGAGTAATTGTTTGTCCATATACTTTTGAGAACTATTCTATATAGGGAACTTTTTTGTTATGCGACAATTCTTTTATACGACAAAAGGGAATTTAAACGTGCATAGCCATATGTCCCATATGTCCCTTTAGTATTACGGTTGAGTAGTTCGATTCATAAAGTTGATATATTTTATTTCTCATTCTGTATTTCGTACATTTCTTTAAATTGCCTTAAAAACAAGCTAGTTTAGAAGGAGTATTTGCAAGAAAAAACATTTGTTTCCTCATTAATTAAGCTTATTCTTGTATCCAATGAATGGTGTTCCAAAGATTGAACCATATACATTTTTAAAAGCATACTTCTATAAAATGTTAGCTGACACTGAAATGATTAAGTTTCCAATAAAACTTTCGATGAAAAACTTTGTTTGTGCAGATATTAAGCCCGAATTGGATTTAAATGACTTTCATTTATAGCCAATAATTGTTCCATAGAAACGATTCCTTCTTTCTTGTTAATTAAAAGAGTACATAGCGTTCGACAAATTGAAGCAACAATGCCCAAAATTTGTATTTAATTTTTCTGGTAGTTCAGAACACGGCTCGGAACAAGGCAGCGGTTGAGTTAGCAGTGAACCCAAAATCACACACACACACACTTATGTACGTACTTGGGAGTAGAGACCTACCTACCTACCTAGCCTAGCCACCTATTCACATATTGAATAATGCTTTTTGTTATTGATACTCACGTAGTAAATATTTTGGTGGTGCTGCCTCAGCAAGTTCGTGTCTTGAATCTTTCGTTTTGTCAGACAGACAATACGGTCGCATCTTTGGGCCATTTTCTAATAGATTGCCACAGACAATTAAGCAAGTTGCCATTGCCTCGAATTCATTTTGTTTTGTATTATTTTTGTTGGTTTCTGTTTTCCTTTTGTTTTATATATTTACTTAACTTTTGTTAACTGACCTTTAATAGTCGTGTTGTACAACAACATTGTGCCATAGGCGGCAGTCGCATCTGGAATGCCGCCAATTGAACTTCACTTCACTTGCTTCACTTGCCTGTAAGTGCAATAAAAAAATTTGAAAAAAAAAACGGTTCAACTTCAACGGCAAAAGGTGATAATCTCATTTTTTTTCTAGTGCTCTTCAACTTGTGTTTGTTGTTGTCGTTATACTTGCGGCCTGTCGGATTCGTCACTTAAGGTCAATGATATGCTGCCGCCACCGCCACCACTATTATTATTGTTGTTGCTGGCTAGCATTTCAGCTTCAATTGTTTTAGGCTGACCATAGCATGATGGGATCGAGCCGCATGATCATCACTCACTCACCCAGTCAGTCGTTGGCTGGCGCTGGCGCTGGCGCTGGGGCTGACCTTGCCAGGCATTGTTCGTTTGACAAATTTGTAGCACCCACTTGACGCCAGCAACCCAACTCGCACAGAAATTGCCACTTAAAGTCGCTCCGCGTCGCTCATCATTCGACCGGATGCGTGCTCTGCTTTCCGAAGCTCTGCCATCCGCCTTTGTTTGCCGTCAAATCTGGCGAGGTATTGCCTCCAAATATTTGTAGATTGCTTTAGCACAATACTCGCACTTCCAAGCACACATCCACTCACATACCCACAAAATATACTCACGTACATATAGTATAGTATAGTACGTACAAATTGGTGTGTTTGTCCATTCAATTGAAACGCTATGCACATTGACGTTATCGCCATCGCGCCAGCGTTATGCGCAATAATTGACGTACCACTGTGCCTTATCAATTATGAAATGATGCATGGATCGCAACTTAACTTTCATTTTTTTCATGTGGAACCTGCTTAATTAACCCCCTATTGCACCACGGGGCCAGTTGGCGCGCTTAAAAAAATCTGAATGATCTTAAACATAATATTGTTTTGAAATTTTATGTGTGCTAGTATTACCACAAATCATTGTTTGCTTATCTTAAATAGCATCTAGGTTATTGAAACTTAATTTCTTAAAATAAAAGTCTTGTATTTTCATTAATATTATTTAGTAATCGGAGGGGTTTTTAAATAATTGTGTTATTAATTTAGATGTTTTTCCCAATTAGGCTTCCCTAGTTTATAATGCTTCTTTATATTTCCGCCCATAATAAGCAGATTCTGCGTTCTTTCTGGTTTAATACCAGTTTGTAAATACCCTTATGGGCCAGAGGTTGTGTGCTGAAAGACTGTTCTAGTTCCCTATCCCAATCATTGCTGAAGCTCTCTATTTTGTCCCTTAATACTACAGTTTTCATAAAGCGGATATATCAAAAGAATATGTTTATTAGCATTTAAAAATAAATAAATAAATGGGAAAGCAAGCTGCAAAGTTATCAATCTTAAGCTTTTATTAGAAAACCAAAATGAGGGCATTGTATAGCTCCATATTCCAATTTCCATTACTAAAGTTTTGTAAAGTTTCCTTCGTGCATTAAAATTTTGGAAGAACAACCGAATATTACACTTTATCTTATGACAACAATGAAGACTAGTTGACTTTTTTTCATAAGTAGAAATATCAACCTTTGGGCTTAGATAATATATATTAAACACAGAACTTGCAGATTATTTTTAATCTCCATTTTACCCGTTTGGGGGTCAAATTTACTCACTATAATAAAAATTTAAGTTCACACTTCAGCTACCTTGCTCTAGCGGTATGGATGGAAAATTATAAGTGAATTAGGAAGTCAATCAATGAGATTTAGATGACAACTGAATAATTTAATATACAAATATATTATCATTAATATCGACTTACAATGTTGCTTTTCTCAATTGAAAAAAATTTTAATTTATTCAAGCAATTTGAAAATTTCCGATTTTAGATTCAAAGTTTCATTTATAAAGACTGTCAAAAAAAAAAAAGAAACTCTAGAATTAATCAATGATCATATTTCGGAAGGAAATATGCGTTTTCATTAAAAACCTTCCAAGCTAGCAGAATTCGCATAGTTCGATGACACATTCAAAGAAACTTATGAAAAATTGTATTCGTTATTTAAATGGGGTTAAGACGCTTTGCTGGTGGCCACTGAATGTTCAAAAATGTTAAAATGCGCGTGGCTATAAGCCGCTATATTTGCAGTTTAATGTCGGTTTGAAATCATTTTTAATAAACGTGTGAACTGCGCTGCGTGAGTGGCTTAAGTAGTAGCCAAGATATACATACATATGTACATACTATATAAATAACAGATCTTCAAAAGCAACCTTGCGAAACTAACAAATCCGAAAACTAGCAACGTCAACGGCAACAGTGGCAGAAGCGGCCGCAACGACTTTGGCCTATCATGATGAATTATGTGGAATTGCACCAATTTAGCAATTAAACATGTGTAGTCAGAGAGTGGGGAGAACATACATATGGAGTATGAGCCGTAGATAGTGTCTAGCATAAATGGCATCCAAAGCTACTACTTTTGTTGTTGTTGTTTAGCCTTCAGAGAAGGCGCGCGACATGCCCATGTCATGACACACCTCGCAACTATTCTTCATAGCCCCCACACCTAACTTGTTGTTGTTGTTGCTGTTGCTGTTATTTTAGTTGTTTTTTAATTCTTTCCGTTCATTATTTTTGTTCTCTTCTATATAGTGTGCATACGAGTACATACCAGTACCTAGTTAGCAAGCATATTGAACTTGTTGACATTGCTGCTAATTGCGCTCCCCAAACAATCTGCTGAAGACAATGCCGAAGATGATGAAGATGATGATGATGATGATGATGATGATGATGATGAGCAGGTCCCTTAGCTGCGTCATTGCAAAAAATAAATGAGTGAAAGAAAAATAATAATATGAAATGATATGCATCTAAAGACTTACGACCTTAAAGTCGGATTGCCACCTGTGTGGTGCGTGTTTGTGTGTGTCAAATGGAGCGCCACTGATGCTGATGGATGCCCCTCTGCTGGCCAACTCATAAACATTCCATGCCAAGTCATTGCTCACCCAATTTCAAAATACATGCAAGTTAATAATGCTTGCAATGCTACAAGCAAGCACACACAATACCCAAAACACCAAATACCAAACACCATTGAAGAAAAACGCCTTCCACTAAATCCATCTCCATCTGGGCTAAGACAATTCGATGTGTGGCATTCGATGTGCGGCTCGAATTTCACTAATAACTTCAAGGTTGCGCTTACGCGAGCTCAATTCAAATTTAGTACTCGTAATTATCATTGAAATTGAAAACATGTAAGGGAGAGGAAGACGCCAATTGGCTTGTGTATATCTGAGTGTGTCTGTGTGTGTGTGTGTGTGTGTGGGTGCGTGGGTTGATTAACAGTCTGTGTCTCGGCCAAACAAAATGGCCAAGATAGGCTTGAGAACTCAAGTTTTTTCTCACGCCCCATCCTATTTTCAATTCTAATTACATATTTATGGACGGTGGCTGCACCACATCAAATGGGAAATTAATTTGTAGATATGCACAATACACCTAATTCTGTTTTTACACGGTCTTTTTTACACGATTTCGATATAACACGGTTTGAAAGTTAAAAATTGCATAAATACATTTTCTTTAGAGGTAAGGAACCAATCACCTATTTTTGTATATGATCAATTTATTTTTTTACACGGTTGTTTCTGGAACCAATCTACCGTGTAAAAACAGAATTAGGTACTTGTTTAAGTTTATTATTTTTCCTTTATCAACAATCAGTCTAGGCTTTATAGTTTCCAATTCTAATCTACATATCAGCACACTTGTCGAAAACTTTTGATTAATCTATTATAATTCTGCAGCATACTTTCTATTTTGTTTTCGTATGATGCTTTATTTTTAATGCTTTTTTTATTCCAATCAAAAGAAAAATGTGAAATATATGATTAATAACAAAACCTAATTTTAATATTAAATTCCGCTTTCCATTAATTAGTTATTAATCTGTTGACTACGATTGAGTAACACGTGAGTCTTGAGAACAAAGAACAAAATCTAATTTTATTATTAAATTCCGATTTCCATTAATCAGTTATTAATCGATTAATCGATCTAAAACTTGCGTCTTGAGATTTAAATTTCTTGTAAATATAGTAACTTAAAGGACTAAAGGTGTTATAATCATCTAAATTCCCAGTACGTAGTAGGCGTCGTTTTTGATGTTGTATTGTGTTGTGTGGAGAAAAAGTCATTCCCAGTCTAGTCCCTAGACGTTATAGTTTAAAACAAAGCAAATAATAATAATCTAAAAATAGCGCAACACCATTACTATTTCGGGCACATAAATCACGATTATTACCAGTTTTCGTTTAGTTATCGTTTTAATATGAACCAGAAAGAAAGCGCCACACGCACTCCTAAGATCAACAGTTCTCGCACCCGCAGCCTGAGCGGCCTTCAGTCCCCGGACCAGCTGGACGAGGACTGTTTCAGCAATTACTCGCGTGCCTCCACCCACAGCGAGCAGATCCAGCCCAGGTCGCGCCAATCATCGCAGGATCCACCCATCCGCGTACGTGATATGATCAATTTGTATAACTTTGCAACGGAAAAGAATCAGGAGCTATCGCACGCCAAGTCGATTTACTTTGGACAGCGCGGCAGTTCCAAAAATCTGAATACAGAGGGAGCTCTGAACGAAAACGACGAACCGGAGATGGGGGACCAATTGGAAAACGAATGCCTAAGTAACATGGGACTAGATCATGACAATAACAACAGTGTCAGCAGGTGAGCTTTAAACTGGCTGATTGGAATTTCCTATTTCATTATTAGTTTCCATTAGCTGGGAAAAGTTTGTACTTAATTCTCATATCATTCGAAAAAGATAGCAACATTGTGGTGTAGAATTTTGACAATGCTTCAATTAGTTGATAAATAGTGTTAAATAGAATGTTTACCTATTATGGAATGTTTCTAAGTGATGCTGATGTTCAATTAAGAAATCATAGAGGTTTGAGTAACCAGAAAACTTATTGCAGCTTATTTGTACCTCTATATTAGAGTAGAAAGCGACACCCAACTCCTAAAGACCTTTGAATAGTCACCTATACTATATATTTGATTTTTCATATGTGCAGTCATAGTTCATTATACATCGCTAGCCAGGACGATAGTGATTTCCTTCAATTCCAAGCGCACAAAAAGGGATCTTCTGATGCTTTTCAATTTTTTTTCTCGAAACTATAGATTATCAAGGGTATACCAATTAGTTACCAATTATCTAAGTTATTTAATTTGAAGATAAGATTGCAACTACTTGTATTTTCATTTAAAAGCAGTTGAGATGCTTGAATCTATTATTTCTAAGGAGATATGATATTTGATGTTCTAAAAATTTCCTTTTCATTAACACAGCTGCCGTCTGAATCCATCGGCGCCCAATTTTCGTGTCACCACCACCGATGGACAGACATCGGTGCGTCAGACAACCGAGAAAGGCGCAGAGCCAGTCGCTGATTCTGTGGAGAAATCGTATCAAAGCAAGACCACCATACGGCGCACTGAGCAGGGTAAGTTAATTTTATTCTTCAACATAATTCCAAGCCAAGTACGAGTTTAAATCGTTTTACAACCTTCCTAGGGGTACGCATTATTATTGATATATTTTTTGACAAAAACAATGCGGCCAGCTGCGTCGATATGGTAGGCAGTCGTGTGGAAACGGACATACCAGAGAGTCGTATCTTGGCCGACTTTCAGCAGCAGGCTCTGGCCTTGAATGTACAGCCGAGCGATACAAATGTTTAAGAGAGTTTTGCATGTTTTTCAACCAACGCTTTGGTACAAAATTTTAGTTAAGTATACGCCGCATGTGACAAACGTATTGAATTGTTGCACAAAATGACAAAAATAAAGAAAAATAAAAGCGCGCGTCTTTCCTTCAAATTTGATCAGCATTTTTGTTCATTTATTATTAATAATATTTCTTGAAGCAAATGCAGCATGACAGCATGACTGACCTCTTTGGGGCTCGTCTTACACTTCCTGTATGGCTTGGTTTGTCAAATTTTGTGTCGTCACGAAGCAACAAAACAAAAACAAAAATTATCAACACCTCATAAAAAGACAACTTTTGCGCAAAGTCCATTAGAAGCAAGAGATGAAAAAAAAGTAACAGCCAAACAAACAGTATAAACCTAGAAATGCAATGAGGCAACAAGCAACGCGGCAGAGTCGTCCAAAGCTGTTGTCGTCGTCGTCGTCGTCGTTGCAGTTCTCAGTTTGTTCAAAGGGCCAACATAAACGCCGCGAAATGGAAATGAAAATGAAAATGAAAATCTCGTCTTACAAAACTCACAACAACAACATCAGCAACAACAACAAAAAATCTGACATGCCGCGCTCGGGCTGTTGTTGCCGCCAACGCCAAAAACATGTTGCTGTTGCAGTTGCAGTTGCTGCCACCAATGTTGCTGCGGCTGATGCTGCTGCGGCTGATGCTGCTGCTGCTGCTTTCGTAATAGGCGGCTGTCTAAGAAGCTGCTGATGCTTCGATGCCGCCTAATCTTCAATATTGCTGCAATATTGAAAGCTCTATTTAACTAACGTGCTATAAATTAGACAAATAAACACATAGATTATGGTGAAGGGTCGCTCTAAACGTTTACGCTAATAACGTGAATTTGTGTAAACAAAAACCAAAAATTGTTGCTGCAGCAGCAACAACAACTGCCTACACATTTCGCTGCTGCCGATCTTCACAAGTACAACAGCTTCGTTAACGACCAACACCAACACCATGATGATCGTCTTGATGATTATGATGATGACGATGACGAAGACGATCGTGTTGTTGTTGTTGTTGTTGCTGTTAATAATGATGTTGTTGGTGCGCAACGCTGACAGAAACTTCGACGGCGGCGGCGACTGCGACGGCAGCAACATCTCTCGCGCGCGCTTGGCGCTTCTTTTGTGTGTTGTTGTAGCTGTTGTTGTTGTTGTTGCTACGTCTGCTTGTATCGCGGGCGGGCGGCCTAATGTGAATTTTAAGCCAGGCTAAGTGCATTCGACGGCATCAGTTCTGTTTGAGACGTCGCTGCGTGCGGTTCGTTGGTGCGCTTTAAATTTCAAGATTTAAATACGATAAAAACAATAATTAAAATAGATTCCCAGGCACAACACAGAAAAAAAGAAACTGGAACTGCCACTAATTTGTTAAATGCGCGCTTCATAGAAAAAAAATAAATAAATATCGTATGCACATATCTGTGGATCTGTGGTAGCTGAGCTGCCAATTGAGACCGCCTGCGCGTTCTTTTGAATCGTTATTCGAGATTAGCGCCCGTGTGAATTAAGTTTTTGCCTGTTTTGGGCAACAACTACAGCGGCAACTAATGTGATCTTGACTTTATTAAATTGCAACAACAGTCTCGCATATTTAGTCTTCAGTTTTTAGTTTTCAGTTGTCAGTTTTCTACATGACTTTTGATCTTTGCAAAGATCGTGTGTGAGTGTTTTGGTGTGGAAATTGTTGCCGATGAGCAACATATGGCAAAACTTATATAGTGCGCGTCCGATTCGCCATCCAGTTGCTGTCCCCACCTTCATTGGTCATTTGTCAATGTTTATGGCCAAAACTTTGATGAACGTAAGTCTCGCTTAATAACTTCCTAGATAACTTGATGCTGCGACTAGAAATGAATAGCAAGCATATTGTTATTGTTGTTGTTGCTATAATCAAGCTGTAATGCCAACTAATTGGCATAATTGTTGTTGTTATTACAGCAATTGTTGTTGTTGCTATTGTTGTTGTTGTTAAGTTGTTGGCTGCTCTTTCAATGGAAATTGCTTGCAAAAATGTCAAATAGGCTTTGACTGCAAGGCAATAAAAATAGCTGAGGAGACCAACGACGACAATCACGAGCTAAGACTGGCTTATAAATCAGCTGAGGATATACGTCTATATGCAACAAAAACAACAACACAACGCCAACAAACGACTAAACGACTTGTGGAGAGCGCATATTTTTGCCTCTTTTTGTCAAAAAGGTCAAGAAAACGGGCAGCCGTAACAAAAAGGAAAACCAGGCGCCAACTTGTTGGCACGGCATGACAAAATAAAATAGAATGTTAGTGTATACCAGAGTCGACAGTTGTACACTCTATATCCTTTGCAAAATAATCGAGAAAAGACAAACGAAAACAGGCAAATATATTGCAGCCACGCTTATCCTCGAACCTCATGATCCTTATTTTTTTATTGAACGTATTTACTTATCCTTTTAAAAAATGTGTTTAAATGGAACTATAATTTCAAAATAAATTCATAGCTCTTTAATAAATACATACAGCATTGGGTAGCAAGCACATAAACCAAACAAAAAAAATATATAATTTCAAAATAAATATATCAGCAAATTTGTGATTTTTTTTGGAAAAGCATTAACTATGAAATGTGAAAATCTAAACTATAATCGTACGAAATACTTTTCATTAGTTTCTTAAAGACTACTAGGCATAGTCCTTTCACATCACTTAATTGTTGAGGTAGGCCTTTAAATTGTATTACTCTTCTTTCGAGCGTTGTAAGCCAAGTTGTTAACTGAGCTTATTTAGCCAACATCTCTGTGGTTTCAGGAAATTCATTTTGATAAGAAAGTAGGTTATTTTCTGGATAAAATTGCATAGTTAGCCAGAAGATTTCTTCTGCGAAACATCTACTTAATATTTATTACGAATTTATTTACAAGAGAAAACAAAATTTTTGATAAATCAACAGTTTGCTTCTGGAAAACATTTACTAATATGAGTTTTCAAGTCGCAACCTATTATGATTTATGTCTTCTTTTTTTTTGAAGAAAATCCAGAATTTTGACTACTTTTTCTTCGAGAAAACATGCCAATAATTGAGCCTTCTATTAACCTTATAGATAATAGTAATACCCCACATTGTAAAAGAAACAATTAACAGCTGAAATAAATGGAAAAACCAATTGAAAAATGTAATTAAATTTCACACTAAATAAATAGAATTATTGAAAATATTGTTTATTGTGACATAAAAGTAATATGCCCGTTTACCCTTTGACTTTAGGGTATATGGTGGATGGAAACTCTTGCCATTTGGAATTGTTGAGGCTGCTGCACGCACTTGAGCGCTGAAAATTGAATTTTCTTGTTGTTGTTGTTGTTGGTGGTGTTAGTGGCAACCAATCGATGAGCCAAAAACTTGTGGTTAGCATTGAACAAATGCTCTCATTACCTGCGCCAGTTGTGGCTAATGAATGCACGGCTCAAATGGCTCGCATCTAAAGTTCAAAGTTTGCCAAATTAATAAAAGCAACATTTTTCAGCATTTTTCAAGAATTTCTGTTATATTTATGATGACGTGAGGCTTGGTTGGAAAGCTCAAATGTGTAACTCACACACATTTCATGCCAAAAACTGTCTGCTTTGGCAATTTTATGGCTTGCTGTTGTTGTTGTAGCTGTTGTCAGTGTTGTTGTTGTTACTGCCGAAGGTCGAACTGGCTTGGAAGTTGGCAGCAATTGTAGGTGGAGGTCGAGGCATTTGAAATGCGTTGCAAATTTTCAGCCAACAACGGTCGGAGGGAAAATTAATGTACGGCTGTGGCACATGTAGCATCCACCAATCGTTAATGTATTTTAAATTGCAATTAATTACGCAAAAGAAATAAAAAATAAAAGATATTGAAAGAAGAAACCAAACAATGAGCCCACTCTTTAGTGTTGTAGAAAATTGTTTTCACCGCAGGGAGTTGCGCTTTTTGTTATTTTAACTTACTTTAAATATGTATGTAGTCGTATGTGTTTCGAAAGTTATAGTAACGCTTACATAAAAATTGCAATAACAATAACAAATACTTACTGTAACAACAACAACAACAATGTTAAGGGCAATTAGCGCTTATTGGAGACGAGGGCTCATGAAATCATTGCCATTGTCCACACATTTTTGCCAACAATGTAACGACAGGCAGACACACTTTCTAGCAACCAAAAATAATAAGCGAGTTTTCCTTCCGTGATATAATTGCAGATAAACCCGTAAGTGACGACAGTTATCGGTTTTGGAGACACGCAACAAATCTACAACTGCCAATATGAAGAACCTAAGACTCTTGACTCTGTTCTGCTGCTCGCTATTTTTGGCCAGTGAGGTAAGTACAGACATATATACTACACACTATACTACAAGTATATGTATATTATATATAAATACCTACGAGAATAGTTGGATAGTTTAGCCCGCGGGCTCGCTTATCAATAAATCAAGAGAACATCGCACTATTCTCTACACCACTCACATCACTCACTCCCTCGTGAGCATTCAAATGCAAATTGAGAAAAGAAAAGAAAAAATAAAACAATTATATAAACATTTAAACATTTGCTGGGCTCGCGTAAGTGCTTATTAGGTATCCGGCGACGAAGTTCCATAATTAATTAATTAATTTGTATAAACACAATGGACAAGTATATACTGTTTATATATGTATGTATATGTGTCGAGCTCTAATGATAGCTCAGATAAAGTGCATAATGTAAAACAGCAGCTGCACGCTGTGCGATTAGCTGAGAAATGGCAGGAAACCCACTAAAGACGCCCGCCCTGCAACAAAAACATAAACAATGCCTTCAGATAGACACCCAGCCGAGTTGCCAACTGTGGTCTGTGAATAGATGATAGCATCAGCATCAGCTTCAGCTAATTATGAATCATATTGTATTTGAGTTACATGACTATCATCAGCATTGTTGAGCGGTCAATTACAATACCAACAGTAGCAACTAAATTACAGTGTTAGGGCTATACGGGAATTCAAGTTTAGACCCTTCTCTGGGGAGTATACAATTGCTGGATTGATAATTGAATGGCAAATATAAAAGGGGAATCTCTTTAAGCTTTAACTCATTTATTGTATAAATAATATAATATACAATAAAGTTTCTGCTACATCTAACATTTTTTTTATAGAAGGGCTCTCTTCAAACTAATACTGGGTTTGCTGGCATTTAAACAGCCATCATATTGTTTTCGAGTTGTTAAGTTTAAACTCTTTAATATAGCTTTTGAAAAAAGTATGCAATTTCAGCTTTCAAAAAATAAAGGGTTCTCCCTCTCTCCCTCACATGCCTTAACCAAACAATGCCATAATGCTTCTGCTACATTTTGCAAATATATAAGAGATCTCTTCAAACACATACCAGATTTTCTGGCATTTAATCAGCTACTTGTGATTCATATTGTATTTGAATTACACGACTATCATCAGCATTGTCGAGCGGTCAACGGCAATACCAATAGAAGCAACTAATTGCAGACTTGAGCTTAGCTGAAACGCAAGCTTAGACTCTTAAATATAGCTTCTGAATAATTTGTGTACAATTTCTGGTTTTGCAATTTAATTGCAATCATATAAATAAAGGTATCTCTCTCACACATTCCGTAACAAATCAATGCCATAAAGCTTCTGCTACATTTTACAAATACTTATGTGGAAGAGTTGTCTTCAAAGTTAGGTTCGGCTTAGTCAGACAGATATACGTTTTCAAAATACACTTAATATTCCGATTCAACACACTTATGCAAGTAATCAGCTTTTCAGTTACATTTTATTGAGTTTCAGAAAACAAATAAAGAAATATGAACGTCACCGCCCACACCCAGCTGAGGATTTTATTACACTCGATACAGAACTAGTTTTCAATAATAAAAATAAAGCAAAAATATTAATCTGGCATTGCCAAATATTGTTGTATTATGTACCCATGGACAAAGAATTGTATTCATGCTTCATTTACTCGTACATATTGTTTAAATTAAAGCACAATAAATTGCATCACTTCAAAATATTCACAACAGTATGTATTTCCTTAATAAAAAAAAAACTAAATATTTTTATATTTATTCATCGTCTTATTTATACATCAGATAAATAATTAAAGCAGTATATATTAGCTATTTTTTAAAAAGAAATCAAGTACGATTTTTTAATCAGGTATTCCCAAAACAGGAACTCTTCATACATTCTTGAAACATAAAATTATATTCGAGCTTCATTTCAACATTTTTCATAAAACACAATAAATTAAAACACAACCTTACATTAAGTTCATTTATTTCTGCATAATTCAAATGTTTAAACCATTGTTCGTATTTTTCTACAAGCATCACTATAATTCAAGTACTTCCACAAAATATTTTTTAATTAAATAAAATAATATTTTGATAGCATTTATTTCTGCACTATTCAAATATTTTGAATTGTTAAGATATATAAAAAACATAATAATATTTAAATATGACAATAAATAATAACTAACACATCAAGGAAATACATATTATTATTTGCAAATCAAGATTAAAATTTGTCAATAAGTTAATTTCAAAATTTTAAAACATGGTGAATAATAATCCCAAGTTAATATTAATCTCTAATTAAGCAAGACAGACAGTAGTAAATAAAATTCTCCCAACGAGTCGCAGTAGTCAGTCACCTTTTTTAACTTTAAGCTGACTATTTGTTTTATTTTAACTAAAGTCCACAGATAGTACTTAAATCGTATTGTAGAATGCATTGAGTGGTTAAGTTTTCAGTTCTCATTTGTCTCTCGAGATTTATATTTGCATTCAATGCTGTTGAACGATTTGTTATTTGCCTTCTTTATAATTTGATGTGCTTCTGTTAATTTGCATATCATAATATGTGTAGCCTAGTTTACACGAGCGATTTCGATAGTTTTCGTGAGAAAATCAAAACAATAATAGACACCATAGTCAAAGGTAATGGACTATGAAATACCCTAAAATATTTAAACAAGATTCTGGTCTTGTTTCTAAATCAGGCATGTAATAAAGTTTGTTATTTTAAGCCCCAGCAACTAAATATTCATTTACCGAGATTCGAGTAAGATGTGAGTTCAAGCTTTAGATTTGTTAACTGCCGAATATACGTAGTTGGGAAAATATGGATGTAGTGCCATTGTTCTGGATGCGGGGAGAGTACAGTTTCTTAATTTCAAGCACATTAATAAAATGTTTCAACGACAAAGCCACTTGATCGACCCTGCAGCATCTTTCAACAAAAATGTTAAGCCTTTTAATTGAGTTGATTTATTGCAACTTTCCACACAAAAAATCATATTTTTATGAATTAGTAAATGAATTAAGCAATTAATCTAAAATCCGTTTACGTTTGTGTACATTGCCACTTCTAAATGAAGTCTCAATGAATGAATAATATTTCAAATACGCATCACATTGACTTTAAAATAATTGAAATGTAATTATAATTTGAAAATAAATCAGACTTTTTTGCGAGTTTGTGGTGCCGTCAGTCTGAACTGCCTACCAGATTTTAGAGCTAATTATAGCATTATAAACAATTTGTATGCTTTTGCATTGCCTATAAAGCCAGTGAATGAATGGCCTCAAGTGCCTCATTGGCATATATTGAAGAACATTATTGAGAAACTTATTTGAGAAAAGTAAACAAATTTTGGAAATAAATAAATTCTTAGACTCAGGTTCGCCTTTCAAACTTCAAGCAAAAAAAAAAATACTACAATTTAAGTGATCGGATGAAACGATTCCAAAAGGAATACAGGAATTCCTCGTCCTGGATAGTATAGTATTTATAGCGATTCAATTATAGTTATTCTTTGCACTTAAAGCATTAGAACTCACATAACTTTGTATGTATTGCTTACAATATTTCTTAAAGCAATAAACATTATAAACCTCATTCTGAATAATTTGCAAATGGAATGTAGCAGCATCTCTATAAATTTAACATACAATTAATGTATATTAAATATAATTTTTACATAAGCTAAGAACTCTGAGAATCTGATAATATTTATCGTGACTGAATTATTGATATTCTTAGCACCTCAAGCACTAGAATCCAAATAACTTTTATTATATATTTCTAAATCTAAGCGCAAATGTATGTAACAGTGAGAAAAAGGCGTGGTTCATGAAACCGCTCGTCTGTTCGTCTGACTGTCCCTCTGTTCGACTGAATGAACACCGAGAACTTCTAAGTCATAACAGCTAGGAATACCAAACTTGGTATGTAGACTTATATCATTTATACGCGGTGCAAGTTTATTATAAATCACAAACATACTTTGTTGTTCATGAAGATGATTTATTTATTATTTGTGTATAGTGTTTTCAACAATCGCTCTGCCCTTTTATTTCTGATGAGTTTTTAAAGTTTATTCTACAATTTAATCAAAATCGGGAACTGTGTCATATAGCTGTAACAAAGTTAGTTGATAGCTGTAGTGAGAAAAGTTGTGGGTGAGGGAGATGAGGAGTCGCACTGGCACGACATTCAGGTTCTACTCGTTTTCATATCAATTATCGTTCTGAGTAGTTTTCAAATAAAATGTGAAGAATGTTAATAGATTTAAATGCATTAAACATACATATAAACTTCTAATTAATTGTACTATGCGAATAATTAATCTCAATTGCTCAGAGTCGGGGGCCATCCCTATATTAATTTTTTTATGATTTCTTTTGATATGCAAATTAGGGTAAGTGATTTGGGCAGTTGGGCGTTGCAAATGCAAATCTTTCACAGAATGTCTGTACTACCTTGCTGTTTACATTTACATTTTCGCGAAAAATAATAAGAAGCCGTTCAAATAGTGTTTATCATTTTCCAAAACGCTGGCTCTGCCTCGGGGCGCTTGACTCAAGCTTCTGACGGTGTTGTTGTTGTCTTTCCCAGCCGCTTTGAGCAACGGCGGAAAATGTTGAAATGCTGCGCTTTTTACGCTTTGTTTCGTTTTTAATTTATTCTATGGGTGGCGGTGTGCGACTGTGTGTGTGCGTGTGTTTCTGCAGTCTACAAAACACACATGCCCCTGGCAGGGGCAGCTGCGTTAACTTGGCAAAGGTTTCTGGGCCTGGGCCTGGGCCTTAGTGTGATATTAAAGTGAGAAAGAAATAAGAGACGATGCGCTGACCAAGTGACCTTTTTACTGACACTTTTCAGCACGCAGAAATGGAACAGAGACGTCGGTTGATTGTTTTCTGTTTTCTGTGTGTTTGCATACACGAAATGGCATTATGTAATGGCTTTTATGATGTGGACGAGTGAGCAAAGCCCCAAGCAAATGTTTTTTAACCCTTCAATGCTGACGAGGCTAGAAAATGTGCAGATGTGCATGAGCATTTTGGCATAAATCGTCAAGTTATAGCTGGGAAAATTATTTTCACGGACTCGCGCCCAAACCACGGAAGCCGCCTCGCATTCACACACGACTCCAAAAAAATTTCGATAAGTCATTGGGTGGATCTGGCAATGTCTATAATTTTGTGTTGCTGTCTTTGTGAAATTTGCCAAATAATTAAATAAAAAACGGCAACAGAAAGAAAAAGGTTTGACATTTTCACAGCCACAAGCCGTAGTCGACTGCTCGTACATGCCACTTACTGTTGCAAGCGGCAAGTTGCACGTAGCAGTGGCAACATGTGCCAAGTTATGACATCGCATCACTTCATCATCTCTTCAGACACGGCAGCAGCCGCCAACCAGTCTCGAGCCCAGTCTAACAAACTAAACACACACTCCTATAGATATTGATCAGCACAGACAGCCAACACATATCATTTGTTATGTCTGATAGTTTTCGGGCATGAGAAAGTCTCGAACTACAGTGATACCCTTCCACAAAGAACTCACAAGTTTCCGTTTTAAAACAATAATGGAATGCTAGTATCGAGAAACAACAACAACTGCTATTGGCAGATATTATATTCCTGGCTATAACTTCTAAACGTATTTTTTTTTATTTGGCAAAAACCGACTCGTTTTTAATTGCCAATTATTTGCTGTACTTCTATCTTCTTTTTGTCTTATAAATGTTCAAGAGAAATGTGATCCTGCAACGCCCTTTTGCTCCTATCGATTGCTCTAACTGCGCTCTCTTGCTCCATTGCAACAAGTTGGTTTGTACGAACACCCCCCTCCCCCCCCCACTCTCTCGACTCAAAAATGTAGGCAAATTACAAAACTGTTATACTTATGAAAGTACGGCATAGAACACTTTTTCCTTTTGCTATGGCTACATTTTTTCTCTCCTTATTAGGCCCAGTAGTGACGATGTTAAAGAAAGAGAAAGCATGCGCTTGCATATGAGTAAATACATATGAAATGTTTCATACGTTAATGCAAATGTGAATAAGAATATAAATAGTAATAGTAATTCAAAATATAAAAAGAAGAATAATGGTGTTACAAAATATATGTAAAATACTGCGTACTTACGGAACAGTTTTAATTTGCAAATGCCTATTTCTGCAAATCACATTTATAATCACTTCAAAAAAAAAAACAAAAAATTTGCAGCCGCGCATTTGATTCAAGATCTACACACATACATGCATATATAGCACATAGTTCGCGCGACAATGACATTTATTTTGCACATTTCACATTTATAAGTATATGCACACTTAATGCATAATTTAACCGATTTTTAAAGTTTAAATGTATCATTCTCCAATAATTTTTGGCAATTCCAATGACAAGCGACGCGACGCGCTCAACAGCGCGGGCAAAACTAAGCCATGCTCTGCAGTGGCCAGGTTGCTCTCTTCAAGAATGCTCTCTTTGAGAATGCGAAACTGAAAGCAAAGAATCAATAATCGTAACTGTAAATCAGCGCTCGCAACTGACAAACAAATGGCCGTAGAAAGGATCACAACAATGGGGTTGCATTTTATTTTGTCTTGTATTTTTTATAAAAAACAAAAAACGAAAATTGAAGCATTAAGATGAATTAATTCTGTTTGGTATTAATCTACTATTAATTATTATCTATTGTAATATAATATCGACGTCATTAAATGGCGGCGTCAACAAATTCTGTATGTTTGAAGCAGCGACTTGATATAGCCGGATAGTTTAAATCGGTTTAAGATCTATACATTCATATATATATGAATGTATTCTGCTTCAAATGTTGGAAGCTGTACATACATACATAGGGTCCACAATGCATCTTTTTAATCTAGAGAAACCCAAGCTAAAAATAAAGCCGTCCCTTTTAGACTAAACATTTATTTTGATGAGAGCCGAGCGTGTCGTTTTTACACAATTTCCACTATAACACAACCTTCCTGTATGTTGCAGTGCCAAAATGACAATGGAGCTGCTTATATGTTTCAAAAGACGTCCTTCTCGTGCACCGGACGGCCGGCTGGCTATTATGCTGATGTCGAAACGGGCTGTCAGGTGGGTTTAGGTTGCCAGTGAAGGTACAGGTACATACATGTATATTGCTTAATGCCACTCCGACTCAACATTTCAGATCTATCACATGTGTGATGGCCTCGGGCGACAGTTCAGCTATACCTGTCCGAACACCACACTGTTTCAGCAGCGCATGCTCATATGCGACCATTGGTATATGGTCAATTGTTCCAAGGCAGAGAGCGACTACGCGGCTAATCTGCTGATAGGTGAGTTCCACGACCATATTCAGCATTATTTTTAATGAAATGTTGATTTACAGGTCAACGGGACAAGCCTTTTGTCAACGACGAGGAGAACAGTTTACGCACACCACGCCCCGATCTGCTAGACAGACCCTATGCGCCAGACTATTCTGGCGAGTCCTTTAGAAACCAGTATAAGGTAAGAGTTTGAAGCAAAATGTGGTGGCATTTTAAACAACACTCCTTTGTTTCTTGGCAGCAATTGACGGCAGTACAGAATCAAATACACGACGAGTCGAACAAAATGGCTCAGAAACCTGCATTACAGCAAATAATCAGCGGACAGACGCATTGGCGCATACCCGCACCCAGCCGCACCATACTACCTCCGGCATATGAGCCACAAATAGAGCTGTCCTCTACAACGACGCCCAGAACCACCAAGAGAACCACAGCCAGCACCACCACAGAAGCGCCAATCATTCGTCAAACGAGCACACGCAAGATCCAACGCTTTGTCTCCATCACGAAGCCCACAAAGCGAACGATCTTCAATGAGGCACTGCATCCACGCAAACCACAAGTGTTTGCCAACACCATTGACGCAGATGATTTGGGCACCAGTCACAGCACTCGCTATAATACCTCGGCTGATTTCAATTCGGCGGAGCTGACGACAAAGACGCAGAAGGCCAACAAAACTTCAGTTAAGACACCTTCGAAAATTTACGAGCCTCCATTTTTATACCCCATTTACAATCAGGAGGATGAGGAGAGACAGACGCCAACCCTACTGCGAACCTCGACAGCAGCGCCATTTAGCACAGCAGCCATGCAAACTCCAAAAGTAACCACAACCACCACCACCGCACGCCCCATCAGCCGACCCACTACCTATGCAGGCCTGCCCTTCACCACATCTCCCACAACATCCACAACAGTGACGCGGACATCCCAAAGTATCCGTACGCCAACGCCTACCCCCAAAACGGAGCTACGCACACCCGCACCTGCCCAAAGTTTTCGCCTAGCCACCCCAACCGTCTCGTCAAATACGCAGCATCGCCAGATAGCACCGCAACTGCCTTACGCCGATCTGTTGCCACCATTTGTGGACTTTGTGGCACACGACATAGCCACCACGCAAGGACCACCCATTTACTACGAATGGAAGGTGCCTTCTAATGGCCTCGAGCCACCAAAGTTCGATGCGCCCATAGGTGTGGATGGCCGAGAATATCCCGAGACCAACAACGACTATACTGCCAAGAGCACGCAAAACAGTATTTTTAATACGAAGCTAAACGATATAGCCAGCGACCCGGCGTCCCTGAAGTCATTGATGCCAGAAACACGCACTCCCATCTCCCGTTCAGTCAAGGCTGAAGCCACGGTTCAGAGTGTCACCGAAAAGGCGCAGAGACGCGCAGACGTGCTGAGCTCTATTTCCAGCTCCAACTCTAGAGGCGCTGGCGCGGATATCACACAACTGCGCAAGGAACTACTTATACCCGAATATGCATTTCCGCTGGAGAACATTGGACGCACAGGCTATGGCTCGGGCGATATATACAACTCCTTTCAGTTGAAAATACCCGAGCAGGTGAGAAGCAGTAACAGTGCGCCCTCAAAGCGCCATTGGTTCGGCGAAAATCCCAAGTGCCCGGAGTGCCATCCATCTTTCGTTATACCAGGCACATGCGAGCCCTGCCTCCAGAGATAGTTCACCTAATTAGTTATAAGCTTCTCCTAATTGCAAAACTATTTAGTATTACGTCAACTCACATAAGAATCCCAGAGGAATGAGAGTAAGTGTTAGAGAGTAAATTAATTCATTGCATTTAAATGTTAAATAACGTGTATATTCACAGTAAAATAATAATAATGCATATTATTGTATCTAAAAACTACATAAAACATGCTTCTCCATCATTTTCATCCTCCTCCTAGTACTAGGTACAATAATTGCTACATTTTGGTGGTAAGTGATAAAGGCTTTCTGTGCCTAAAACGGCAGGCTGCTTAAACATGAGTATATAGTATTATGTGAGCGACTTTTGTCGGCTCCTTAACTGCTTAAAGTACAATGCATTTTATTCGCTTAACATGTGCAACATTTCATCTTTCTCTAATATAAGGCACTGCTTCAATTCCATATTCCATAATTGTATGCATGCTGAGCTTCTCCACTCCACTCCACTCCTCTCCACTCGACTCGAATCGTCGATCAAACAAAACAACTAAATATAGTATTCGAATTATATACACGCTAAATTGGAAACTGATTTTTGTGATTCTGTTCGGTAAAATTTGACTAGCATTTGGCTTCGCTCGCATTTAGCAGGGATCATAGAGAAAGACACTGGGAGACCATGGCTTGGGCGAGCCAGCCGCCAGTTCCGGGTGTGGATTCACCACCTGGCTGCAGTTACAACTGTCTCCTGCAAAGTCCATGCCCTGGGGATGTGCGCGGAGCACAATTTGATGAGTCTTGGTAACATCGACATTGGCCACTACCCCCGCCTCGTGGCGAAAGCTGTAGAAACGATTGGTCAGATGTCCATCTACGTAAATCTATAGGGAAGGGGGGAGGAGAATTGAAGTTTCGAACGCTGTGATTTGTATTCCATTCCAGCCTCACCTCATAGCCGGCAATGCCGCAACAGTCGTGAACCTGCCAACGCACATAAAGAGCTGCACAGCCAAGGCTGCTGACATCGGTAATGGTAACCGGATAACTCTCCCGGGTACGGCTCACAGTGCGTGATCCTTTTGGATTCTACAAAGCAGCCCACAAATTAGTTAAGTTAGGGTATACGAAATGAAAAAAAAATGGTCTCCTACCTTTGGTTTAAATTCTTTTTGACGCAGCACATGATCCATTGAGTCCAGATCAATAATAATCGAGTCAATAAAATATTTCTAAGAACAAATAAAATTGCATACTTGTTTTACTAAATAATCGAAGTAACTCACCATTTCGGATGTAGGATCGCACAGCACCGCATCCAGAGTTTTAGATACGGTTTTGCATTCATTATCGCAGATGAGCGCACGGCAATGACAACAGACACAAGGCTTCGGCGGTTCTTTGTCCGCAGCCGCTCTCTTTTTTCCACAGATGCTCTCTTCCATGGCCCCAGTCTCGGGACAGGGCGTATCTGATGTCTGATTCCATCCTCCACCGCATCCACCGCAATCGTCTTCTGTGGCTGCTTGTCCTCCCCAATTCACTGAATCGTACTCGCATTCGCCGCAGAAAGCGTCTTCCCCTGGTAGCCTTTTGGTGCCAAACTCCATAAGTTGTTGTAGCAATTGCTCGCAGTCCCCACACTCTACGCTCTGGGGCAGTTCCGTAGATCCATCACATTCGCAGTCACCATGCATTTGTGCACACTCTTCCTCCTTTGCGGGCTCGTCATCACATTCTCCGTGCGTCACAAGTGGTTCGCTATCCCTTTTCTCTTCTTCACATTCGCCGTACATTAACATTTCTTCGCAAATTGTTTTTGCCTGTTCGCGACTCTGTCGGAAAAATTGGGAACAATCTTTGGGATCAGGGGGTTCATCATCACATTCGCCGTGAAATACGTCACTGCCCTTCTTTTCTTCTTCACAATCCCCGTGCATGACCAAATTATCGCAATCTATAGTTTCCGCCTCGCATTTACTACGCTTGAAATATTTCTCCAGAGGATCTACATCACATTCGCCCTCTATTTGTGCGGACATCTTTTGATCCATATTTTGCTCCATACTTTGCTCCATGCTTTGCTGCATACTTTGCTGCATACTTTGTTGCTGGCTTTGCTGCAGTCTTTCTTCCTCACAGCAACCGAAATACATACCAGAACCCGTCGGGGGCTCACTACGCTCTGTTGCACTGCATTCACCTGCAAAGAATGCTGACGACTCCCCTTCTCCTGCCTTACACTCTTCGCCAAAATCCTCGCCTAAGCTTTTTGTGTCGGGTGGCTCATAGTCTGGATCGAACTCTACGTTGTATATTTCATGCTCTGGTATAATCTTCTCAGCTGGTGGCCCAAAGCATTTTTGCACGTAGTCTCTCAATTGCTCGTAGCACTGCTCCTTTTTCCGCTGTTTTCTGCTCTTCGGCATCTGGGACTTATCTGGTCTAGGCCCACCAGCTTCGACGCACTCATCGAAAGTCATAGGCGGCGTCTCTGGTTCCTGCCCGGGCAATAGTGCATCCTCATCTTCAAGGTGTAGCAGCATCGTCAGTTCCACGAAGAGTCGCTTTATTATAGCGGAACGCTCTTCCTTGCACATGCAATCGGAGCAATCGATAAGGCCGTTGATCATATCCAGCACACGTTGCCTGCGAGTTGGTGGCGGATATTCGCTCCGAGGCTCCGAGGATATTACAGAGTAGTAGCAGCTGCATTCATCAGGATGCTTCATCGTCGTCATCGTCTTCCCCCCACATGTACATGAAGGACCAGATTTGTCGAACATACAGGACGCTCCACAAGGACACACAAATGCTGATTGAGCAGCATTAAACGTTGAGATCTGCCCACAGCTACACGGTCGCTGATAGTTGACGGAATCGTCATCATCTCCGCCACAAGAAATGCCACAGGGACATACAAATGCCATGTGAGAATTATTAAATGTAGAGGTCCGGCCACAAAGGCACTGACGCTGGTTGTTATTGGCCATACGATTGTCTTGACACGGACCGCCAGGTCTCCCCTGCTTGCTGCGCGTCGATATTTTGGATGATTTCGACCAGTTAGAAGGCCCTTCTGTGCCACAAGGTATGGGTGTTGTCAGATCTTCACAGCACGAATCGCCGGCATCGCCTTTATCGTGCTTACTGCGCGCCGATGTTCTTGATTGGCATGGACTCTTCGTTGGCTGTCCACAAGGCATATCCACACGCTTTTCGTCGTGTTTACTGCGTGCCGATGTTTTTGATTGTACACAGGGCATCTCCACAGGCTTTTCGTCGACACACGCACAACTTCCAGCATCGCCTTCGTCCCTTCTGCTGCGCATGGAACGCACGGATATATCATATTTGGATGTTTTCTGGAAGCACGGACTCTTCTGCAGCTGTCCTCCACAAGGCATTTCCGGAGACTCTTCGGCATAACACGAACCAGATTCGTTCTTTTTGCTATGCATGGAAAAATCATATTTCGATGTTTTCTCATAGCATTTGGGCTGTTTCGATGATGTAGAAGATACCGCCATACCTTCTGTACAACAGGGCAACGCTATATTGCGGTCATCCGGTTTACTACGCATGGAGATATCATACTTGGAGGTTTTTACATTAGCCGTACACTTTTTTGGGGTCTTCTGAACGTCCTCCCTGCTGTTGCAGCATGAAATCGTGGCATACCATGTATGACTACCATCCCCAGTGTTCTGCGAGCACTGCGCGCTTTTATCTTTCTTGCTGTCATCCTTGCCCGCAGAGCAATATCCACTGACCGATCTGGTTGAGCGTCTGCCAACTTTAATCGCTTTGCTGTAAGCCAGAGAAAAGTTGGAGCACGGACCTTCACGTATAGATGTATTGGAGGATGATTCACAATCCAAAAATATGTCGACGTTGTTACCACTCTTAGATGGAACTAGACGGGCAGAGGATGCATGCATTTTTCTAGATACAGTAATACTCTTGAAGCTCTTGTTACTAATGTAGGATGACCGTAAGTCCTTAGATGCAGCGGTGCTTCTAAAACTCTTAGAGGGCTTCGTGCTAAGGTAAGATGCGGAGCCATCTTTGGATATAGCGGTGCTCCTGAAGCTTTTGGAAGGCTTAAAACTAATACATGACGCCTTCAAGTCTTTAGAAGCAACAATAGTCTTTAAACTTTTTGAGGGCTTTGAACAAATGCAGGATTCATTAGCGTCTCTGGATACGGCGGTGCTCTTAAAGCTCTTCGAAGGTTTGGTGCACATACAAGGCACTGCGGTCTTACGCTTTGATTTGTCGCTCCCCGAGCTGCATTTACTGATCTTACAAACTGAACAAGAGCACGAGCTAATGCTACGTTGCTCCCCTCCGGGCCCTCTTGGCTTGCTCTCTACATCTGCATGCGAAGATGGATCGGCTTCCATTTCTTCACACCCGCCCGACGCCGTATCTTTATAGTTGGTACGATCACTTTGATGTTTGGGGAGACGCACGCTCTTTCCCGAGCTTTGCGCTGTACACAGGCAGGTTACTTTGTTGAGCATTGAGCGAGAACCCGCCGAGGCAGATGCGTCCTCACCCGTGCACATATCTTCTGACCTTAGCTTTTTTGGACAGCAGGGTTTGCTCACCTCGGAACGAAGACTTGGCATGGGTGTTTTGGCATCGTGAATTGTTCCATATGTTCCCGCGGACGCTGTATTTTGCATTCGGCAAAGCCGACAAGTGGACATTGCCGAAAGATCCTGGCCACAATCACTTGGCGCCACGAGTGGTGCCATTTCGCATACTGTCGTTGAGATGGCTAGACCACATATGCCAGATGGCTTTGATGGTTGCTTTCCGCAGCTGGCAGATGTTTTTGATGGTGGCTGGCCACATACAGTGGCATCTGAACGGGCCGGCGCATATACGTCAGACTGCATTGGATTATAATAACATGTGCTCGTGGGCTTGGACGATTTCAGAGTGCATTTCGATGGCACCGAGCTGCACATTGGCATCGCGTTAATGGGCATGTTAGACTGCTTAGAAGATTTCTGGTCGCATACGGAAGTTGGCTTGGAAGATTTCAGAGTGCATTTGGATGGCTCCGAACCGCATATATTTTTTTCAGATGGAACCACATTGCAGCTATGTATCAGCTCCGATGTATTTGGCAGACATGACGATAAAGGCAGACTGGACTGTGATTTCGATTTAGACGGCGCAACATCAATATTGGTCTCCTTACAAATGCTGGGCTGTGACTTGGATTTGGAAACTTCGGCTCCCTTGGCACATACACATGGGGACTGATGTTCTGATGATGGATCATCATTTTTCTTGCAACTACGAAACTGCGTGGGATAGCGAATGTTGCCCATTTGGCAAAGATCCGGTTTGATAGTAGTCTGCGAGTCTTTATCGTCACTGCTCCTCTGATTTGAGCGGAGGCGCATATAACGTTCGTATATAAAAGAAGTCTCAGTCTGTGATGGTTTGTTGTTCACTGCCAGCTCCGAGGAGCAAATACCGCCTCGTTCTACATCTTGATCCCAGGGCTTAACGGGATCATCGGCAATGCGCACGGTGTTTTTGTTTTGCTTCAATGTATCCCTTACATATGATTGGTCGGTCTGTATGTCCTGGGTGCGGGAACTGAAGTCGAAAGGTGGGGGTAGTCGCTCATCCTGCATATATATCAAAGCTGGCCATTCTGCAAAGGAAGGAACAAAGAAAGAAGCCATTAGAATTAGTTGGGAATGCGGAACACTTTATTCATTTTCTTGACAGAGCCGTGTGGACGAGGCAATGGTGGGCGAGGAAGGAATGGAAAAAAATAAACGACTATTTATGAAGCGGTGGTATTAGATCCTTGATCTCACTAAGCTTTATCTCACGACCGCGCGTAATATCTGGAGACGAAAACATCTCACGATGATAAAGCTCCAGAAACTTAGCCTCGGCTCTTTCGCGACACGGGCAGAAGTCAAAATATGAGGTTTGACTGCAATGCGCTGTATCTCTGAACCCGGAGAAGAGAGTGCCGCGCCTAGCGCACTTGCACACCTTCACATTGACGTGATCGCGATTAAGGTCGAACGAACGCGGCTTCCAGGGGCACTGGCAGCACCCACAGTTGCCGGGACAAAATACATTGCCCTCTTCATCCATAATGGGACTAGGGTCGTATCGACAGGGGCTACATGTTTGGAATTCCTTGTGCTGCGGCAGTGCCAGGAAGTACCGATGTTCCGGCGGCTTTTGTTCCTCAATTGGGGGCGGAGGGGCAGGTACGACACGAATAGACTGGACACTGGCAACAGTTGAAAGCTCTTTTTCTTTTGGTGGTGGTGGCACTACAATGACCTCAGAAGACACAGGCTCAGGCTCTGGCTCTGGCGGGGGCACAATTACTGTAACTGGCTTAGGCGCTGCTACATATTCTTTCCTCGGTTCCGGCTGTGGTCTCGGTGGGGGCATTGTCTTAAGCGGCATTATGAGAGGCACAGGTGGTACCACCTGTATTGAAATCACATCCCGCGGACCTCTTTCGTATTTATTCGGACAGGGCAAGACGCAGGTCTGTGTTTGGCACACACACTTCCTGTCCCCAGCTCTTTCTAATAACTTGTGCCTACCTGAATGACACTGGCACGGGTGCGGATGCGGCAGCCTTGCTAGTGGCTGAGGCGATGGTTGTGGCTGCGGCTGCGGAGCTGCCTCTGCGGCTGCGGCTGCGTGGCATATCTGGCGAGGTCGTTGCGCTTGCATGGGACACACGTTCACTTCCCCATTATCGGGATTAAATTCCAGTGGCATTTTCACAGTCACCGGCTTGCCTTTCAGTCGACACTGCTGCTCCTGTGGCCCCGTGTCGGTGAGCAAGCGCGCAGTTATCTCCAACGTGGCGCCACAAGGCTTTGGCCAGCCTCCTGTTTTATCAAAATTCTTTAGCAACAGCTGTGTGGCATTAGCAGCACGTTCTAAAGCGGCGCGTATCGCTTGCGGATCATCAAACTTAATAGAGGAACAGGCACCCTCCTGTGGAAAATCGTCGCTTATACAATCACAAAATATTTCCTGGTCGCTGGATGTGGACGCGAAGTTCGGCATCATAAAGATTACATTTGTCGAATTTTTGTCGTCAACCGCATGCTGCTTTTCCTGCAGCACATCCTGCCGAACTAAGGATCTGATGCGACTGCAACTGGTTGCATTTTTACATTTTCGTGATGTCTTATCCTGACTTGGATTTTTTTTATCCTCGTCCATGGCAGAAATTGTTCGAAAAATTTCCCAACTAAATGCAAATTAACATTAAATTTAGACTAGCACAGATTCCGATGTTGCCTGGTGTGTAATTTGAAACTAACTAAACATATTGGCATTTGATTTCTAAGTAAATAGGCAGCGGACTACTTTGTTACAAAAACTTGTTTGCGGACTGTAAAACAGTCATTATTTGTTTAATACTAGGTGCCAAGTAAACATACAAGTAGAGTTTGTGTGTAAGAATAGATTAACACTCGTAAGTAAAACGAATTTTCTGCTGGGTTCTGCTGAAAGCTTCGGGAAAACTGAATGCATTGCCCTCAAAAAGATTCAGTTCGCCCGTGCTCGGATCAAATTTGATTGGTACTTTTAAGGTGACGGGGCTGCCGAACTGTTTGACAGTACAATCTCGAGGTCCTTCCGGACATAGCAGGCGCGCAGTAATCTCCAGTGTCGCCGTATGGCTTCCCGAACTGTAACCCTGACCTGTGTAGAATTGTAGCAGCTTCTCTGCGGTGTTCGCGGCACATTGCAAAACAGAGCGTACTCGTATATTCTCGGAGTTGTCACATGCGTCTTTGCATTTCTTCCTAGGCTTCTCGCATCCGCCTATTTTCTCGGGCTTCTCGTCCGCTCTATTTACAACGGGCACCCCGGACTCGCAGTCGTGATCGCTGTGGCAATCATAGAAATTGTCGATATTACAGGATGGAAGCCATGCCTTTGGCTTTGTTTTCTGAACGCGCTTCGAGTGCAGTTTAACTTGAAGTTTTTCCATATTGCTGTAATTTTGTGAATTTTTTTGTTCAAATTTTCAAATTTAAAATTTTGTTACTATTTTGATGTGAATTTGTGTGACCTGGTTCTATGAAAAAATTGGCACCTACTGAGCAATGTTCACTAGACAATTTGAATTTATATTTGGTATTTCCAGAAAATTCTGTGAACAGATACAAAATGGCAGCTATACAGTTATCTAGACATACAACATATCAACAGATCAGAGCAGCATGCATGTCCAGTCACAGCTATTGGGCATTCGAATCGGTTAACTGTATATTATTTCGCCTCTCGACCGGATAGTAAATGGTGCAATAGAACTCAGACTCCACCTTATGATTGTGGTATCTTATAAGCCGCCCATTGATTTTCTCCTCGATCTCATTGAGCAGCTGTGAAACGAAGGGCTTCATCGCAAACTTAAGTGCACGAACACAACCCAAGACTGCCACGAACTTGTCATAGCTCTCCAGTTGTTCAGCATTGTGGGGTCGTGGACAGTCCATACATAGGTCCTGAAGTAATTCAATGTGCTCGCGAAACTCTTCACTCGTCTCCCACAGGTGGAGTAGGCGCGCCCGAAAATCGGTGCTGTCGAAATCCTCCTGCTGCACGCAACGTTGCAACAACTCCACGAAGCCCCGAGTGCGCAAAGGCATCAGCATCAGGCGATGCTCCACGCTGGCCTCCTCAGACTGCATGGCCAAATCAACTAGGTCGGACTTAGCCAACACCTCCTGATCACAGCAGTCGGGTGTCACTTGCACCATCTTGCTTTCTGTTTCCAGTTCGGTTTGTACGAAGGCATGCGCTTCCAAACGTTCCACCGGCCACTCAATGAACTCGGCGTGCAGCGAGTTCATCGACAACGCCGACGACACCGAGCGCACCGAGTGCATGGAAGTTAGCGAATGGAAGCTGCAGTAGGATAAACTTTTCCTCAAAGGTCCAGTTCCGGTCGCATCGAAGAAATATTCCTTTCCCATGGTGCCGCTACTTCGACGTACGCGGCCGCGGCAGACACGACGATTATTGAACTGCTTACAGGTGCGACGCTTGCGTCGTACTCCATCTACATTGCCGGTTTCACTAATATCTTCGGAGTTCTTTTCCAGCTCCGTACCACTGCTGTCGATCAGCTGACGCATTTCCGTTGGCACCTCACAGAGTTCCTTCTTACCATCGTACGTGGACAGCACTATCGGCGGAATTAAAGCCATGCCCACAGTGTAGGTGACACCACCACCACCACCGCTGGACCGACGCGACTTGCGACGACTCTTTTGACTAAGCGTGGAACCGCGTTTGGAAACGCTCACCGGAGAACTAGAGCCGGATGGTGTTTTCGGCTTTTCAACAGGCTGATCTACTGGCTCCTCCTCAACTGTTGCTTCCCCAGCACCCTGCTCAGCTGCCTCATCAACTGCCTGATCAACTGCCTGATCAACTGCCTCAGTAACTGCCTCATCAGCTACCTGCTCGGTAGCTGATTGTGACTTTGTTAAGCTCTGCACCGAAGCAAATGGCTGCGAATCGGCTTGGCTCGTTTTTTCTGCCTCTTCGGCCTTGTTAGTCGCCTCATCCAACGAGCGGAGCTTTTCGGCACATGCGGAATCTTCCGCTTGCTCAGCCATACATTGGCAACCACTCACCTCTTTCTCTTCTTCGGGTGGATTTTGTGCGTAGAGTATGGTGTCTGCCAATTGCTTCACGCCGCAAGCAATGGCCTGGAAGTCTCGATGTGTGGGTAGTTCGCGTTCGCGCCGCTAGAAAAAGAGCAAGATAAGTAGGGAACGGGTAATGATAGTATTCTAGTCCGAGTGATAAATATATGGTGGATATTTCGACTCTTCACCCCGACGAATAAATTCGCTCACTATTCGTTGTGCTACTCACCTCTAAGTCGCGTAACGCACAACCCAATCCCTGGCTAGCAGACTGTAAGTCCTGTATTTCTTCACGTCTGGCACGCTTGGCTGGACTATCGAATAATTCGTCGGCGAGGCTAAAGCCCTCTGGACAAGTGCCCATCTTACGCTCCAATTCCTGAATATATTCCTCTTTGGTGCGCAGCTCATCCTCTAGACAATGTTCGCGGTCCTCTGCTGCCTTCAGCTGGCACAGCATTTCACATATTTTGCACTCTAGCGTGCCAACCTCCTCCTTTAGTTCACCATTGGTTACCTCGATATGTAGGAATTCCTTCTTCATGTCGAAGATCTGCTGACGCAGTGTATCTGTCTCTTGCTTCAGTTGCTCTTCGGTGTTCTGTTGCAGTTTCTTGGAGAAGGACAAGTCATCAATGAGTGCTTGACTGCGTCGCTTCTCGTTCTCCAACGCCTCCGCTAGTGGTCTTTGCTCCTCCGCCTCCTGTTCCTGTTGCGCTTTGTTGCACTCGATTTGTGCTTGAAGCCCCTTGTGCTCTTCGAGTAAGTCCCGGTGCTCTTTTGTTAGACGCACGAGGCAAGTTTTAAGGCCTTGTTCGGTCTCCTCCAGCTGTTGTATTTTCTCGGCAGCTGCGCGTGAATCTTCACGTAGACAATCCTGCAGACGGGCTATTTTCTGCTTCAGGCAAGCCTCTTTGGCGCGATAGGCCTCCTCTCGCTGTTTGTATTCGCGCTCCAGATCCACCCAGTGTGAATCGGCCGTCTCCATGGCCTCGTAGTGGCGCGTGTTAAGATCCTTCATCTGGCAACGTAGACTCTTAACCTCCTCCTTCAGGTAGGAAACTTCACGAGTAATGCTGTTGTCAGTGCCGCCACTTGGTCGAATATTGGTGGCGTCCCGACTAGGACTCGGGCTCTTTCTGGTCGGTTCGGTAGAGCCAGCCGGAGTGCGTGGCTCCTCCATAGATACTTCATTACCCATTCTGGCCAATGCCCATAAACGACATAACAAGAACAATGGCAAGGATCTGCGCAAGTTTACCAAATGCTGTTTAGCTCGTTGTCTGTCTGCCTCTAGATTACGAACTTGTGTCTCAAAAGTGCCCAAATCCTCGCGCAGAATGATACACTCGGCCCGACAGTCTTTGTATTTGGCGCCCAGCGCCTCCTTGGAGAATTCTAGCTCAACGTTGCGTTGCCGCAGAATTTCCAATTCCACTTCTGTGCGTTGCAGCCGCAAGCGCGAATCGTTATCGGCCTCCTCGAACTCGCACTTCTCCTCCTCAAGCAGTGAGTTCTCATGCAGCAGACACTCCACACGATCCGTGAGCTCCTTCAGCTCCTTCTCAAGCTGCACTTCGCGCTGCAGACGATCGGCCAAGTGCTTGGCCTGTATGTCTCCACTGCTCTCGTAGATCAGCACCTTCCGCTCCAGCAGTTCCAAACGCTCCTTGTAGTACTGCAGGCGTTTGAAATCGTTGGCCTCCAAGCTTTGCTGTTGGACTTCAGTTTGTGTGCCTGTGCTTCGATCCAAGCTCGACAAAGGCTCGCCTGCAAAGTCACACTCCACGAAAACTCCGCTCTCGCTGAGACTGTTGCTCTGCCAGGCCTGTCGCAGCTTCCTGGGCGAGTCCTGCGGCGTACCACAGCCCGATGCGCTGTTGTTGTATGGCTGTACGGTGGCAACAATTCGATTGTTAACCGTTCCGTAATTCGGCTTGGCTGGACTGTTGTTGCTGCTGCTGCTGTTGCTATTGTTGTTGTTGGCTGTCGTTATCAAACGTTGCTCCGATTTGGCCTGAAAGAAAAATGGCAACAAGTATTAGGTTACTCGTCAAAATTTCGGAAAATGTAATTATTTAAAATTTTCTGGAAAGTCCCAATAACTACACCAATAACTAAAAACAATATAATAAAAGTTTGTTTCTTTTTTTGTGTTTTGTTGTTTGTAAGTAGTTCGCTTTTTGACAATTAGGTGCTGGGTAACGATACGCACCGATTCTAGATCTGTAATGAAATCCATATCGAAATGTAATTGTTGCACACACTGAAGCAGCTGCTGCAGACCACGTTTGTCCTTTTCGTCCAGGATGGAGTCCTGTAGCAGGGTTTGCAGCCGTTGGCATTGGCCCTCGCAACTATCGTCCGTCTACAAAAGAATGAATATCAAATATAGTAAATATTATAATTACTCTTGTCTAGTGCTTTCAACGCCATTTATCGCATTATAATCTAGCATTCAAACCAGTTTTGTGGTGGGAAGCCAATTCATTAAAATTATTTTACAAATCTGATGAAGTACGAGTATTATACATAGATGGCCGCAATTTGCCAGACTATTAAACATTATTTTTAATTGCAATTAATCTCTCGAAAGTTGGCGCAAAGCTTCTTAATTGTCTTTTATTTGTATAACGAGCTGTGATTTATGCTCCCCATTCAACCTTTTTGGCATACTATTTAAGAAAAATGGCATAAAAGACTGGAATTCATTTTAGTTAAGTTTGTTATTTCGAAAATTCTGTACATTTCAAAACCTTTTTGGCTTTGTTGAGCCCCTCTATGTTCTCCAAATTCAAAATCGGATACAAAAAAATTATAAAAAACTAGCGGATGAGGTCATATAGCTTTTTCCAACGCAAATGAACTATATAATATTGTAAGAGCTAAGTTGCCAAAGAATTATATTAAAAAATTAAAACATTTATATTAAAAGAAGGTCTAAAATCTAAAGCACGCCAAATGGTTGATTGTAGATCAGTAAATCAGAACATATACTAATATGTATAGACCATTGAGCGGTTGATCTGTTTGTGTTTATAGGCATTATTTAAACCGACATTAGCATGCAATTAATGCTTGGTTGCCTCAGATTTTCCATCCACAACTTATTTTCACTTTGCAAGCGTATGTTTAAGAGGCATGTGTAATTATTTTCCGTTTTCTTGCAATTAACCAAGGCGTATTGAATTATTTTCAAGCTGAACGACTTTACAGCTTGTGGCGTTCGGCTCTAAATATTATACGTACCACAAATCCGACAACAAATAACACCAATACAAGCAAAGGAAGTAAACGGTACGTATGAGTAACTTTTGGCATGCACCGATCATACAGATAGATAGCTATACTATACTACATATACACAAGTGTTCAAACACCTTTGATGTGTGTGCGCCTTATATAGGGTGCTTGCCCTCAAATGGCGCAAATATTTGAAGATCACTCCAAACAATGTAAAACGAAATATATTTGGCCAAGACAAATTGCCATTTAGGTGAACGCCTCCGAGCGTGGGATTAACACTCTTTGAACCATAAGCGGAATATTAAGTCACTAGCTTGTAAGTGTCGCTGTCCGTCCGTCCGTCCATCCATCCATCCGTCCATTAAGTTAAATGGCCAGAGGTAGGAAGTCTACACAGAAATATGAATAATTCAATGCAATTGAAAGTATGCGACTGCGCTAATTATTATTGCACAGTTACAGTATAAATATGTATGTTAATAACAATAACAACTCTTCATATTATTATTATCCATCTTAACCATGTTCAATTGTTTGTTTATTTCTTTGCTCTACTAAAACAATTTCCAGGCACGGGCACAGGCGCAAAAATTGCCGTCTTTCACACAATTTCCGCGAACGTTTTCTATCGCACTGAGCCATTGTTTATCGTTCGTTAAATAACGAGCCCGAAGCTAGATCTTGACACGAGAGACAACTCACACTTACACTCACAGACATGCACACACACATACTGGTCCGCCGCCTATTCATATGTGACTCAATTCATTCATAAACGCGAGCACAAGCCAGTCAGTGGCCGCTCACTTGAGCGCTTTTGTTTCTTGGCTGTGAGTGCAAACTGTTTGAGTGCGTTCCGGCCGCCCACCCACTCACCTTATCATCCTCCAGTTCGAGTATTCGAAACTCAAGCAGTTCGTTTTGTTCACGCAACTCATTCGTTTCCGCCGTTAGCTTCAATTCGTGCTCCTCCAGTTTCTTGATCCGCTCAAGCAGTTCATTAATATACGCATTATTGTTGGCCTCTAGGGCCGCCTTCTCGGCCGTTACCAGCTCCTGTTTCATCAATTGCAGTTCCGTTTGTAAGCGCTCATTTTCCTTGTGATACATTTCCACCTCCTTCTGCAACTTCTCCAGATCTTTGCTGTACGTGTGCATCTAAAAGCAAAGCGATATTTAGTACAGCTACTAAGTTTAATTCGTTTTTTTTTTTGGCTATTTCCTACCGTCTGCCACATTACACCGCTATCCGAGCCAGTTGAGGGCGGTTGCGGGCTTATCGATGGTGGCGCCGATGACAAAGCAGAATCCGTATCTGAATTATTGTCCTGCAAGATAGAGTATTGGAAATGGAAGAATGATTTACATTTTTCAACATTTTCTCCATAAAATTATTGTAATTTAGAAAAGGAATAAGATAAGGATAAGGTTCAATCGTTAGCAACGTACTGGAAATATCTAATGTTGTTACTTGATTCTATCTATAAAAACTATTCATGGGCTGTCTATTAAAAACTTGCAGGAATTATCTTTAAAGAAAAAACACAATCATTCAATTCACGTTTCAGAGAGAAAAAGAGAGGAATTAGAATTGAAATAACATTTTTTAATCATTTCCTCTACACATACTCCACACATACTTTTTAAATTGAAAACATTTTTTGGGGTCAGGATCGATCATCAATCATCGACGTGTCTGAAATAATTAATTTTGCTCCTTAATTCCATTTAAAACAATTCCAATTCATGCTTCTAGAAATTTGCTAGCTGCATTTTGATTTCCCAAAAGGTCCGTCAATAAAAACCTCGCAGGAGCATGTAACCTTAAAAGTTTCTACACAACTAATTGACACCAACAAGCACTTAAAACGCCAAATCACGTTTGGGACGCGCAATAAAAAGGCAATGAAACATATCCTAAAATGTACAATGAATGAAAAAAAGAAACAAGTAGAATTAGATAAAAATCAAGACTATGTTATGAATATTAAACAGTCGACTGAATTCTTCGGCTAACACGTCTACACAAGCTCCATTGTTTGGGAAAATCGCACGCTATAATTAAATCGCCCAGTCGGTGTTTATTTTGTGAAATCAGAGATCAACTAATTTTGCGATTTAATGCAATTGTTGGTATAAGGGCGTAAGTTTTAGAGAAAAAGTATGACAAGATGAGTAAAAGTTGTAAATAACTTTCTTTAAATTACTTTATAAACTAAAAAGATAATGCAGTTTTGTTATGATTATCGTACAATTAATGCGAATGCTAGGCTTTTAAGTATACTTTTCATTGAAGACAACAGCAACTAAACTTTTAAATGAACACTGAAACATTTTCCGAAGCATATAAACGCATTTAATTGTAACTTTGTCAACTTAAGTCTGCTTAAGGAATAGTTTAGACGAGTTTCCCAAACTGGCGATTTCGATCCTCGACAACAGCCTGCATTCCATATCTAAGTTTCTAGTCTGACAGTTGTGCATAAAATTTTGAAAACTGTTTTTAAATAGTATGCTGTATCAAAAAAAAAAAAAAAAAAAAAAACATTAATATTGTTGCCGAAACATATTTTTCTGCTTCAAAATTCTATTTTTGCTTAACTATTGAAAGATATAGTACAATTCGTTTATTTGGTCAGCCAATTATTTGTCTGTCTGACCATAGCTGCAATACATTTTTGACTTTTATTTGAATATGTTACAAAATCAAAATGTATACCTACTTGTACAATAAATAAACCTTTTAACGCATATCTATACTTCTTTTAAAAGAAATCGTTATGAAAAAGAAGTTTTTTTAGCCCAGGTAGCCAAGAACCAACTCGCATCGTGACGAGAATATTAAATAGATGCGATGACTAATGGGCCGACTTCGTTCTCCAAACACACTGAAGTGCAGTGAGTAACTTTTCTGAATAACAAATGCACATAAATGTGATTGTAAAGGCAGGTGGTAAGCAGAGAGTTTCGAGGCAGGAAATACAGTTCCAATAAATACTAATTAAGGTATGGTCAGACCTGAAAATAATTTGCACACAAACTAAGATTTCTCTACTTCAACATACTTTTTGTCACAACAAATTATTTTCGGATTTACTTTTCAAAGACAACACAAATTTGTGTGCAAGTGTTTTGCATGTGTGACCGCAGCTTTAGATTCGAGGGGTTAACTCACCTTTGGCCTGTACTCCTGCGTGTCCTGTGTTTGTGTCTGTGCCGTGGCTTTGTTGAACAGGGCGCAGACGACATCCTGCGGCAGTGCTCGGCATTTTGTGGTCGTCATCCATGTGCTGACAGATCCATCAGTGGTTATCAGTTGCTCATGTCTTTTGCTCATTTCCTCCAGTGTGTTGGGCGGTTTGGACCCGTTTTGTGATTTTGTTGTACGCATTTCAAGAGATTTTTGCACATTTTTCGTATTATTGATTAGCTCAATATTCTTGAGTTGGGTTATCTGCAAGACCAGACATGAGAAAATGTTGAATACACAAACGAAACGTGTTCATTGTCAGAGGGGCCTAACAATTTAGACAATGATTTGTCACAAAGGCATTCTTTTGTGGACAGAATCGGACGCCTGCTTTTATCTTTCGCCGTGTGTTCTTCTCGGCTTCTCTCCTCTCTTCTATGAAATGGGCACAGGCCACTACCACTACCATTTTGGCCGCAAGCGAAACAAGAAACGTTCTACAATGTACAATGCTTCGCTTTTCGTCGCTTCGCTACACATAAATACTTAAATATATAGCTTATAGAGGTATGGAGGTATGAAGGTATGTGTGTGAGTCTGCGCCAACAATTTAACAGTTATGACTTTATTTCGTGCCCCACAAAATGTATATAGTTTGTGGCAAAAGCGCCTAATCACTATGAACAGATAGCCAGATAGTTCATTGACATGCCAAAGGCATTATGAAGCCTGCGAGGCATACACTGGCAGAAAAGTTAAGCACTTAAGGGCACTTAATTAAAGTCACACACAATTCGGTTGAAAAAATATTGTTAAATTGTTTCCCACATATTTTAAACTTCTTCAATGGCAATTTTCTTTTCATTTTTGCCATCAGTTTTAAAGGTAATTCGTTACCAATTTTTTATAGATTTTTTCAAAATAATTAGACCTGTACCCGCCTCCGATTTAGATGAAATGATTTGACTTTCTATCAAGCTTTAAGACTGAACAACACCATCATTATTATACTTGTAGTTATTGGATTTTGGATTCAAAAATCATTTCGATTTTGATCGGAAAGGAAAACAGACAAATCGCTTAAATTCTACATAAAGCATAATAGAAATATTTTTCTTTATTTCTGTCTTGTGTCCTTTTAGGTCGTATCGATTCTGAAGTTTCTTCCAACCATCAAGGGACTTCTTGCCTCTTCAGAGGCCACTACGGCTATGACGGACTGACTTCTTTACCTTTCCCTAGCCGATCAATTAAAGAGACTTCGCATTATCATCTTCTATGAGATTTAGGAGATAATTTATAATAAAGGGCCGGAAATTATATGATCAGGTTAAAAGATATTCGGCCATACTCTCTGAATCCTATTTGTTATAACCCCGGTCTGGCTAATACTTTTCCCCCCGTCAGTTCTAATAACGCCCCTAACTACATTATGCTGTAAGTCGCGGCACATAGCTTGTAAGAGAAATAAATTCCCATTAAGAGATGGATTCGCTTAGATATTATTGCTATTTAACAATTTGCATTATTTATTAAAAGATATTTCTAATTTTTATAAATACTTAATCGACTTTTTCTGCCACTGCATTAATTGTTTGTAGCTTAGCCTATATAGCATGTAGCTTTTAAAGCAAACTGGCCAACAAAATTGGTTGCACCAATTTATAGAGAAGGGCGCAAGTTTCTTCTGAGTGTGTGTGTGTGTGTGTGCGTAAGTGTGTGTGTGAGTGTGTGTGTGAGTGTGAGAAATTGGTTTTGCGGTGGCGTTAAAATGAGGAAAGTAATCACTGCTGCCCACCAAGCTGTGCAAGTCAATCAATGGCAGTTATGCCTGAACAGCGACTTTCAACTCCATTCGGTCGGCCAGACATAGGTAGAGGTATCATTTATATAACAAACATAATGCCCATGTTATTATGTGTATAATGCAGCATTATGCTAATTTGCAACGCTCGTTCAGTTTTTCATATTTAATTTCAATATGTCTGTACCCGAGTCGGTGTGTGTGTGTGTGTGTGTGTGTGTGTGCGTGCGTGCTGGTCAGTGAAATCATTAATCAATTGTGAAACGAGCAAGGTACACCCAAAAACGCAGTGCAATGACCAATACATACCACCAATACATACTACCAATCGTTTCATATCGTTTCACAAGCCATGAATATCAAAGTAGCGCCCCTGGAGCCCCCATTTGGGCCGCCACAAATGGAGTGGCGGGAATGGCGCTGACGCTGACGCTTATGCCGACCACATACCTTCACGTACACACACACACACACACACACACTGTGAAGCACACACACACACACACACACACTGGCACACACTTCTGACCAAACCCTCAAAGACACGCGCTGCCAAATTATCTTCCTAACAGTTATGGTAATTTCTTGAATCAATTCCAACAAAAGACCACAAGAACCCTGCCTTCTAAACGTTCCCCTCCCCTTTTTCCACTTTTTACGTAACGGTTATGCAAACTTAACGAACTTTAACGTGCCCAGAAAACTGAATACTGAATACTTTTGAGTGGCAGCCGGAGCCGGAGCCGCAGCCACAGCCGCAGCAGCAGCAGCAACTGGTTGTGATGGGGAAAAGAAGAAGACCTTTTTATGGCTATATCAAGCGTCTGTTGCATTGATTGGCAGTGCGTTAAATGAATTGCACGAAGAGACGTCCGTCATGGCTCGTTGGCGGGCACAGTGGCTACAAAACATGCGGCAGATGTGGCAGGCAAACATTTGAAAGTGACTCAAATATTCAACAGAATTTTCCTTAATTGGAGAAGATAGCATTTAAAAATAATAAAATCTTACGATATGTGTCAGCAAAGAAATGGAATTTTATTTAGTTATAGAAATCATCGACATTTTTAATATACTGTTCAACCTCTATTGATAAATTGATCGTTCACGAACTTTTTAATGCTATTAATATTCTCTATTTACTATTCTCAAGATAATGGAGATGCTCCATATAGCCTTGTTGAGATACAATCAGATATAATAATATCTGAAGACAAATAGTAAACAGAATAATGGAGGAAATACGGAATCGAACGTTCCTAGTTAAAGTTCCTAGAAATTTAAAATTGGAGAGACATTTTAAAGCCAAACGTTTCTCAAATCCATTTACTCGAAATACAATCAAAAGCTAAAGAGAAAAGTCATGCTACCTTAAACGAATTTTTAAATGTGTAGTAGATAAGATTAAGATACAGGTACATTAAATACTAGCTGTCCCACCTCAAATAGATATCGAAAGTTGAAATACAACTGACTTGCAACATTCAACAAAAAATGTCCTAATACAAAATAATGTTGATTTATTTTCCGTGTAATTTCCATTTAAGGTTTTATAATTTATAAAAAACATTGTCCCTATTTTTCTACTTGTTTTTTCTGATAATAATTTCAGTGTATTTTAACATACGTTGTTTGTTTATTTATTTTCGCGATTTTTTTAAGTGATTAATATTTCATAGTTTTTATAGCAATAATTATCTTCGGATTCATTCTTTTAACTAATTCGCATTCTACAGAGCTGAGCTCTTATATTTGCAATAAAATAAAATCTGTTCATAAAGTTTCCCCGCATAATTCTCATTTCGATTTCTTCGCATAGTTTATTTTTTATATTTGAACTCTTCTTTTAAACGATTCGTAAGTTATGTTTCTTCTACAAAAAACTGTTTAAACGCTATGCATATTTTATGCTCTTCTAAGCTGCCTTTTCTCCCATTTCTTTTCGTAAATGGGTTCACATTTTATTATTCAATATTTATAAACATCAGTTAAAAATTGCATTTGAATTAGTTTTAGTTATTTTCAATATAATTAACTATAATAATAATTCAATATGCTTAAGCTTTTGTGAAGTACGTTGTGGGCACATTTTTGAAAGAAAAGAAAGGGTAACGGTACGCATGCGTGACGAAACGATTGGAAATGGTAACTGCCCCAATTGTGAATGCACATTTAATTTGAATCGTTTGAATCGTTTGAGTCACTGTGCGAGGTGTCTGCAATGTTAACGGCGTCAACGATGCTGGCAGCAAAATTTCAAACATCTTTTTTGACGTGATGTTGTCGCTGCTATTGGTGTAGTTGTTGTTGTTGTCGCTGTTGGCGGCGATTGTGTGTAAATCTGTCGACAACTTGTTTGTGTTTGCATGTTGCATGCACAAACGAACACGCTCTTTAGCTGCCTCTCCCTTCCCCATCACTCCATCACTCCAGCACTCTCTCACGCGCTGACTTGCGCTCTCTTTGTGAAATGGTTTTCCTTTCGGTAACAGACAGGTTTCACTCGATCGATTGCTGGAGCGCTGCGCTGCGCTGCGCTGCACTGCACTGCACTGCACTGCACTGCACCGGCTGCTGTGTTTTTAAGGCAGCGTTCCGGGTTCGAGTCGCGCGCCATCCGTGAAAATATTACGTATACGTATTGTCGTTGGGTGCAGTGCCCATCGAAAAGGCAGCAGCAACAGCAACAACAACAACAACATCACAACCAGAGTCGAATATTTGCATTTGGCATTGTAATACAGGTTTATTTATTTTCACATTGCATCCAAAACCAAAACCCAAACCCAGTCAGCCAGCTAGCCAGCGCTTTGATCTTGCAAAAGCGAAAGTTTCTTTACAATGCTAATGAGTTTTATTGTAAAAATCGAAGCCAGCCGGCACTCAATGGGCCACTGGGTGGGCCCAGCAAAATCCTCAAAGAAAACCCAACCAGCCATGCATAACTAAACAAATATAAATATCGTTTGTCACACTAATGAGGCAACTTGAAGCGCTCACTGTTGGCATTTGGACTTATAATTTATAATAATTCAGTTTAGTTTAAAGCTTAAACAGTTCTTTGGCATCAGTTACCTTCAGTTCGCGGCACTCGTAGAAGTAATCCATTATCAAGGCATCGATGTTGTCGAGATTTCATTTCATAATAATTAACATCAATTTTCAGCCGGAGCAGTTTTCACTCAGCACTTAACATATTTATAGCCGCGTATTGCAAACTCATGCATTTGCATAGTTTTTTGTTGTTGTTGTTGTTGTTGTTCATTTAGTCAATTTAACACACCCCGCTTTTTTTCCTCGTCTTCTATTCATGTATGTATGTTGCTCCAATCACTTTGCATTTTAGAAATGAAGTTTCAGCTTCATCATCAACATGATCATTAGTCTGTCTGGGTGTCTGTCTTTAACGCTTTTACTGTCGTTTGTCTATGACGAAGATGTCTAAATTTTTGCGGACGCC